TGTCTGTTTCCGTATGCACATTTATGTTTCACTTCAAAGTGATCTGGTAAATAAAATCAACTGTAATCAGGTGACCCTTATGCCTTTATACTCAGTCAACTAACGTGAATTAAAGCACACGTCAAATGACCAGAACATTAGTTATCCAATGAGAAAGCAAAGTGGTCTCAATATTATCGTTTACTCTCTTTGAACAGCATGGTCGTAAATATAGAAAGTAAACACAAGAGATAGATGTCTAAGGTTTATGAGAGAATACGAGATAAACGATGGGAGCGTCCTATTCGAATTCGTGCCACCAACAGTTCCAGTCGGACAAGAGGAATCCCAATGCGCCTAAGAATGTTTGGCACATGTAAAGACTAGTAACTGACGAAAGGACAAACTTCTAAATATCCTTCAAGGGGTGGTAAACGCTAGTACAGTCAAGACTCGAACAAAGTGGCCGTCATATTAGGTCAGGTGTGAAAGTCAAAGGTGAGGATGAATACTCAACGCCTTGTACCACCCATAAAAGTGTCGTAGATACGTACAGAGCCTGAAATAGCAAGGAAACACAAGTTATTGATTGTGACCTTAGGAAGTCTCAGTTTAATAACAGCCTTGGTGGACTGAGGAAAGCAACCCATTCGATAAGACGATCATCGGTTGGTGGACCAAAAAGTCGACATCGCAATCGATTGCACGTAGGGCTGAGATTATGGCGAGGGAACATTTATCAGCATCATACTTCTGCTTCTTCTCATTCCACACAGTCACTCAGCGCCCATTTAAGGGTATGTTCACGTCCATTATAGTTTCTCGGCGCTCCCAAACAGCAGTTAGGTCAGGTTTGATGAAAGAAATCGACGTAGGTGTTCCCAACTCCTGGAAGATGGTGTATCTCAGGCGACAGAGACGTTTCGCAAGTTCCCTTGCAAGCCGCTTATGACGAGCACATCTAGCATCACGCGTGATCCAGCAAGACTGCAGAATATGCACTAAACTCTCCGACTGACTGCAGTTTGCACGATAGGTCATTTGGCTAAAATGACCATGCCGGGCATTTATAACTCTCGTCCTAAGCAGGTTGCATCGGACCTGGATACCGAGGATAAATACCCGCGGAGACACAACCCATCGATTAGAAAGCGGCGAAGCCACCAACTCTCGCAAACCACGATAATTAGACTATCACCCCAAGCAGCCACCAGCTCTTCCTTGGTGTTTACGCATGCACCATGGACTCGGATCGGAAGGCTGAGATCCCGAACAATTTTGCCAAATGCAGAATCGCTGACCACATTGCGTGGTACTCGGCACCGGATAGACAGACTCTTTTTTATACGCGCTCTCCGCTGGATCGGGATGGGTGCACTCAGACTTGGGACACCAAGTCCCCCATGTTGTTTACTGGCGTGGATGCAGCTGATCAGGATGTCCCTTGGTAGACGTAGCCAGCGACGAATAGATTGCCTGATGTAATTGCCCAGTCTTTTGAGCGTGTTCCGGTGGGTGCACGAGACTTGGTATCAGGTAGTTCCTTGTGATCTCCATTTTTTGATGCGGCCTCGGCGGCGCACGCGTCATTTCATCCAGCAGCTGATATCGGTGTTTGAAGTAAGATGGATGCCAAAATATGTTACCGTGTCTGTCGGACCCAGGTGAGTGATCCGTTCCTGGGTGAAGCAAAATGATTCGACTGAGACCGCTGTCACCCGATGTTTCCCGTCCCTTTCGTCTTTCACGCGCTGATCATCATACCAACTCTTCCCAACTCGACCGCAGAAGTTTCAAGCTTCTCCTTAAGGCGAGCTTGACTTTGTGCACACACGACCCAGTCGTCATAGAAGGCGAAACCATCCACTAAGGGGTCATGGAACTATTATCCTATTTGCGGCAACGACAATCCAAGAACCCTATCCATTTCCATGATGAAAATTATTGGGAAGAGTGGGAGAACTTTCAGGGTGTGCGAAAATGTCTTAGAGGCGTGGAGCAACAGGACTGGCTCCGGTGTCATTATGCCAGACTGCAACCCTCGGGAATACCGGTTTGGATGAGATAGTTGGTAGGACTGTTCTGACAACTTGACTCCCGAGGCCATGGGCCAAAGATGTGAAATTTGCAGAGCTACTCATGAGTAGGCAAAAACAAACGTGCATGTGACCGACTACTAGCAGGACGTTCGAGGAGGTAATGGCGATCCGCATACTGAGGGACGCAGCTACAAAATATCACATCTTTTAAAGAAATCTTAACTCCACTCACATGTATATGACTGCTCAGCCTCCTCGACTGGGCCACGCACCGTGAATGAAGCAAAGCTTTAGGAACAATGAGGTCTCGACCAGCTTTTTCTAATCGAGAGCAGGAGCAAAACGGGTTACAGTACATCTCCATTAACCGGCCAACCGAACTTTGTCTCACGATCTAAATAAACAGGCTAGCATGGAACTCTAGGAAACGCGCACATCTGAACGGTAACGGGAACTGAAAGACGGCTGATTGTGGCTACCGCCAGACTCTCGTCCTGGAATAGACGCAACCTGATGGTTGATGGAACAAAACGAGAACTAGAGCTTAATCTTCGACCCTTAAGCGTACGGTGGATTCTGCCACTAGCCTGTGGTAAGAATATCTGGCTTGAAAATCTAAAAGGCTCGTTCTGTTAGGGGCGATTAACTGTGCACCCGTTTATATCAAAGTCCGGATTCTTGGGCTTGTTCTGAAAGTAAATACGAACCCCTGGGGATGACCCCTGAATATTCATGAGCGTATATTGCACCTGATGGAATCGAATAAAATAAAGGCCGAATTGGAGTGACGAATCCCATAGGGCTCCTATAGCTTAGATGTGCACCGTTCAGTATCGTTTCTATGGTGCTCCCAAGGCGGTTGCCATTTATGGTGGTTGGTATTCGGTCACCGTAGTTGATGTGACGTCTCGGTCGCAGTGTATGTTTAAACTGGGTAGTTCCGTTTAATTTGAGGTCCATTAATGGCAAGGTCCTACTGCTGAGGAGAGTACTTTCAAGTCAATGTTGATCATTCTGCGAACAGAACGATAGCTACCCATTTCTTGAGTATGCCATAGTCCGAAAACCATAAAACTTTAACACCCCATTGCCAAGCAGACAGGTGCGTGGAGAAACAAATGAGATCAAATAAGATCATCATGAGAGCATGCTGTCATTTCGTCATCGGTTCGTATAGAAAGGATGTTGGGTCTCACACAGTGATGGCATGTTACTTCGAGGGGTGGTGTTCAGAAGCACCTATCTCGCTGTTTTCTTAAGGTCTATTCACATTTTTCATAAAGGAAACTACTCACAAGGCTGCTGAAAACTCTTCGACAGCCCACGACCGGTTTCGACCTTCTTAAGGCTCATCAGGTAGGCACAGTCCCCGAGTTTCCGTCAACCTTATGTTCCACTTGTACCTTGTTCTTGATTATGATGCTGATACAACCCTTCACCTTTTTTCACGCTCTGCCAGGCATTTCTTCTCAGGATTGTATCGCACTTAAACACGAAAATTTGTTACTTGTGCATACCTGCCAAGGGCGGCGACGACGTATCGATGTGAGTCAAAACAAAAGGAAACATAATGTGACCATGAAGTTAGTACGCTACCATCCACATGCATTTTATGATGGAAAAGCGTTGTCATGGACAACGATCAACTGGTAAAGGACATCAGTGTAAAAGTGCCCTGTGACCATGGACGAGGAAGGCCCCAGTAATAAGTGAAAAGAAAGAATATGGGGCAAGAAAGTCCCACGTTCCTAGAAAGAAACATGCAAGCTACATACGGCTGTCAAAATCATCTGGAATAAGACACCATAAACAGGCTAAGCAGTCTGCGACAACCTCACTCTCGACATAAGTCAAGCAAACAGCAATACACGCCGACTGGGAAATCCAGCTGCTCGCCGCTGCAGGAGAATTAAGCGAATCTCGACCAACCCGGTATTTTTGGAAAAAGTACACCCGGTTATTCCAAATGGGGAGACGCGGAGTTATACTAAGAGACGGTTACTAAAGACGGTTACCCGTTCGGAAGGATTACGTCACTTGTCGTGACGGAAATCCGCTGGAAGAATCCTTCAGGAGTTGAGGGGCACATGGCGAAGTCCTTAAGCCATCAATTATGACGGAATTGGATGTAGAGATAAGATAACGCTCGAACCAAGGAAGCAGTGTGATCAGAGGTATTGATACAAACGATCAGATGTTCAAAGCCCAGCGCAACTGGCAGACCGTTCGTTTTTTGCCAAAACAGCAAGCATACTATAAAAGGCTTTATACGTATAAGCCAAAATAACCTTGAAAATAGGTGAAACATTTAGTTTTAGGGTATCCAGTTTTTCAAAAAACTGATAAGGCTAGCTAGAGCACTCCAGCTGCATTGGCCCACAAATCTGAACAGAAAGAGACAGAGATCCGGACAAAAATCAGCCGGGAATCGACAACTATAATACCGGTGCTACCGTTCCCGATACAACAAATACCAAAGGTGCGCAACGTGTATTAGGGCCAAAAACATATACAGAAGATCGTTTATGAAGTGTATCCGGCGACAACAGTCCGGTAATTCCGACGCCTTCTAGCTGCGCCATTGGCAACCGGCAGGATTGGCTGCTGTATCCAGACTTTCGGCCAATCAGAGCTCACCTTGATGCTGGACAGGCAAGCGGCCCGACCATTTGGCCAATCACATAGCGGACAGACCCCTTGGACGCAGCAGCGCCCAAGTGCCAACGGTAAGGCGGCATCGGTGCGGAGTTCAGCCTAACAACAACCGAATGCGCACATTGACCAAGGTCTATTTCCCTCGTCCCATCTATCCCGAGTTTTGTGCACTTGTCGCTATTTTTTCCACATATTATCATAATATATAGCGCATCGTATGACCATTTGACAAATGTATTAGCCCCAAAAACCTGCTCAAAATACCTCTGGTCTATTGATAGGATCGAAAGACCGGGGGGGATCATCAAGAATTACGGCATGAAGGACTGGGAAGGTGTATTTTAAATCGAAGGGTTCCATAGAAATTTTCAAGTTCACTCAAAAAGATATCACGGTAAATCAGGCTGTTTTTCTGGTTCACTGTTGAACAGCTCGTCCAGAGACTCACATTCATGTGGCTTCAGAGATTCAGTAGCTTTCATTCTGATGGATCTGCAGAAGAACAGTAGCGTGGGGAGTAGGATGAGGAAAATAGATGGAGATCAATAAATTAATGATACAAAGACAATATTACTCATAAATGAGAGACACATCGGAGGGTTCGTAAAGGACCTCATTGGGAAGGCGAGGAGTGGGAGAAAAGCGAAACTGATTGGAGTTAGTCAGACGGCTAGTGAATAGAGCTAATCCACCATTGAGGAACAGAATGACGGATGAAACTGAAGCCAACTGGGGAAATAGTACTCTGCGGTTCGAAAATAATGCAGAGGAGGAACACTCCAGATAGCCTAGGCAAACCTGCTCACCTGGCTTCTTTAGACTTTCCGGCAAGCAACAACAGTTTGATAAACTCCTCATAGACAATCTTCTGCTTGGGATGGGCTACCAACTGCTCGCGGAACAAACCGATGGCTCGATCAGCATCGCCGAATTCAAACTCTAGTCGAGCGGAACTGGAAGAATATGAGACAAGTGAAGCATCTAAGCGGTAGTGTAAGGAAAAAACATGATCTTATCGCGTTGGAAAACCATTCATAAAATCTCAAAGACAGAGAGAATCAATTTGTACAGACAAAAGTGTAAAAAAGAAACCGCCAATGGGTATTACGAATAAAACTAAACCTAAAAGCGACATCAGAAGAGGTCGCACACATGGTTCTTTCGGACTAGCGCAAGCTTACAATAAAACTATCCTCATCCCCAACAAGAGGGGTTCGAAGGTCGTTTAAGTCAAATCCACTCTAACTTAGGAAAAAAAGGACACCGCACGCTGGGTGCAACAACTCAGTTACTCAGATAACACTTCGTAAAAATAACACCCATACATACACCCATACTGGGAGTTTCAGGTAACTGGGATACTATGAGACTGGGAAGTTCTGAATATAAGTGGTTCCGTGGGCCAGATAGTGCACACCAGTTAATCTTATACAGAACAGAAAGGTAGCAAATCGAAATTCAATAATATGGAAAATAATCGTTCAGCTGTAACACCCTTCCGGTACCTAGCTGCCATGCCACCCGCAGGAAGCACGAGGGCTGGGATACTGTCAGGTTGCCCAGGCCTAGACAGGGGAAGTCGAGTGGCAGAGGTGGGAATCGAACCACGGACCTTCCGGTCAGTAAATTCGCCCTCTAACCACTTGGGCCATCAAACTACACGTCACCTTCGTGCTTCACGAAAGCCATTCCAGATCGAATGGTGGATAGAGTAAAAACAGGCATACCGTTATTCCTACTACGGATTCTTACAGAGTACTGAACAGTTGGAAATGGATACGAAGCTGTATATCTTCATTTTTCCTTCGGTATATGAATTTTGCTAACAGCAACGTTTAGAGTAACGGGATAAAGAGGTCACGTCCCTAATATCTGAATCAAAAGTCCGTCTCACCAGACAGCGAGTGGTGGGGTTTTCTTGGAGATCCTGTCCAGAGTCAGTGAAAAAATAGTCTGACCGGCTTGGTTACATTGGAAGGGCTCGAGCCAAGGACGCAGGGAACAAAACATCTGTCTCATTTTTGATGCTACTGCACATAACGGAGCCACTTCCTGTATTTCGACCTAATCGGATGATTCATCAACCGTGGTGACCAACCACCAGGAGATCGGAGTGTGTGGTTTTAAGGGTGATCTTTTCCGCCCCATCCTCTACTAGAAACGCTGTTCCCATAAATGTGGAAACAATGGTGGCCTGGAGGAGTTACCTTACTGTCTTCACACTTCTATAGCAAAGGAAGACGTTTACTCGCACATCGGGGCTCCATTGGCCCAGTTCGATTTGACAGGTAAGTCTGGAGACGGATGCTAGCCAGGGATGTGTGCGGCTTGTAGCCACCCAGTCACCCATATACTTTACTGTTCAGCTCACAGTCACTCATTGGATCAGGAGACTTGTATTTTTTCACACTCGCAAACACGTCACATAAAGGTGACTCATCGGACATCGATTGTCTGCACCATCTAGTGAAACTACTCATGTGCTGACGCGACCACGTACAGGCAAACGGACCTACATATAGGGAAACCGAACACAGTCAAAACACAGACTCGTGCGCGCGCAGGGAGCAAGAAGTCAACCTCTCCACAAGTCCACGGACAATTATGGAACACGTGTAGCAGTCGTACTGCGGAGAAAACACGTTGCCGCCGTCCGGACTCTCACCAAGGAACTCTCACAGACGATAAGTTCCTTTTTTGACTAGCTCCCGTCTCGCACTGTATTTATTTTTAAACGCGTTGCAATCCACCACTGTCAACCATATTAAAAACTTTTATTAGTGCACATACCTTCTGATTTGTATTATGGCCATCAACAACAGTGCACTAATAGGCTTTCGTGCAGTTCGCGATCAGCCAGATGAACCCTAAGAAGTCATATCTGAATGTTCCGGACAGAGTAGACTCTCGCCGTTCAAACAATGGAGAGGGGAATTCAAGTTGTGCGCTGAGCATCAGCTGTTTCTGGTCATCGTGTTTTCGACACATAGGCTTGCATAAAGTAACCTTGCGTTCCCCAAGTGCAAACCGACAATGGATTCATTTGTGTCACGTGACTATCAACTACCGGTGGATAGGCACGAGTTAATAATGCTAAGCCTCAGGCGCAAGCACGTTGATTCTGATTACGCTATATTGCGAGCAAGCTTGGGGATTCCTTTTCCATCAGAACATCGCGAACTGATAATAGGACATCTCCGGACCGTTTCCAGCACCATCGATCTGAGTAAGGCCATATACCCTGTGAAGAACCAGCATAATACCGATAATAAGCGGTGTGGAAGGAGCTATGCTCGCGTTCAAAGCTGTTTGTTCGACTTTCAACAAACGATCCAATAACCGCTGGATAGCAACTAGCTCATCAATCCTGACTGATGGTAGGAGATTCACACGTGCACAAAGCAGGTGCGATTGTACGAGCAGATCCATCAAACATCACATAGTGAAGAGTTAGAGAAGGATCGAGAATTCCGGTGGGTAACGAAGGCTCAGGAGGTGCAGGCCTCCACTAACGAAAACAGCTGTGCCCTGTATCATCCAAACCATCAGTTAAAATGATAAACGGAAGAGGTATTTCATTAATTCATTCTCAAAAATCCCAATCTTAAAGGTGGCCTGAGCACTTTGAAGGATAATTTAGCTAGTTTCCTGGAGGAAACTCATACAGTCAATAGCCCGTCAGAAAGAATAGTGTAAAATATCCCCTTTAAAGCAAAAAAATGCACCAGGTCCGCACTGCTCGTACAGATCACTGATGAGCTGTCTGCTAAAATCCACTGACCCTATACAGAGTGAAGGAAACGTGACAACAGAGTGGAGAACCTCAATAACCATCCCACGAAGGACACGCCACAAACCCTACGACGTAAGCCTGGTGGCTGTGCCATCCAAACTGACCCCCGGCCTTATCTTTTGCAGAATGGCGAACTGATGATCTTCACGGATCCGAATTATTTGGCCAGTTGTGCTAACACCGAATACTCAAAATACTTTGAAATTACATACTACTGAATGAGAAATCTGGTATAAATTCATCCAGAGACATCGACTAGCCGTTTGCGCAAATCAGACTAAAAACTGTCGAAACCCCTCCTCCCTCGCCCAGAATAGCGCCAGGGAGTAATTAAAAACCTGACTCTTAGAAGTTAACGAGACGCTGAACTAATGTGTCAGATGTGCGGCACCAAGCAATGGAACAAAAACAGGACGACGCTGTGTTCGGACTTTGATGCTGATCGCGATTAATTGGCAGCGGCGATTGAGGATATTCTCGGAGCTGATCCACCCTTTTCCAGGATAAAGTCACTGTGTTGTGAGTAGTAAGAGGGTGTGAAGTTTGGCTAGACACAGGAGCAGATCCGTAGAAGCTAAGTGAAGAAAGTGAATAGCTCACGGCACTCTTCGACAGATTCCGGAACAGCGACAATGGCTTTAGCAACCGACCATAATCAGCTTCCTTCACGTGATTGTCGGGCAATACGGCGGTATCAGCGGAGCGAAAATTTTCCACATGAATTCTCAATTATCCAACAAACATGTGGCCCACAGTAAGCTGTCACCTAAGTTCACAACACGAATCGTTTCAGATAAGGTTGTGCCTTATTCTTTCCCACCTTCAGTAATACAACCTAGCTCCTAGGACGTTTGCGATCGACAGCCATTGTCCGATCTGACAATCTTAAATAAACTGAAGTAATATTGCCCCAAAGATTGGCATGCGTTTCACATCTACAAAGCTGCAGGAAGATTGGGTAAGATCACACCTGAAACTTATGCTTGCATATAAGCCTCTTGTGGTGGTAGCGTATTGTTTCCCATGGCTTTGCTGAAGACGACAGTGCCATGCGGATGAGGAAGACCAGAGTGCATTTTATCATTTATGGCACACAGTTGGCATCAGATTGTCCGACAACGATCAAATGTGCAATGCCGTAGTGCGCTCGATTTGGCTATAGGTTAGACACCCAGTCTATGCGAGCTGAGAGCGTTGAAGGACATTCAGTGTTTGACCATCGGTGTTGTCAAATCACCACCCAGATCTGGCGGGAACATTCGACCAGTGGTGTCGAAGTACACTACACGGTTTTCGGAGGAAGTAGCTCTCACACAACAGACTAAACGATCCAAACGTAAGATATACTTATTCGAAGGGCCATCTTGGCAGAACGAAGAAGAGGGTGCGAACGAGCCAGGAGAGCTGAGGCAGTGGTTCGGTAACAAAGTAGGCAGAGCATCAATAACAAACTAAGCTGTGTTGGTTGTGGCCCTCTCGATGCGTGGTAACCCAGAAGCGGAGTACACTCACGGCTAAAGATTGCGGCACATATGGCAGAACCACAAGCGCTGTGCCAACCAACTTTCCATGTTGGGCTTCCCACCACAGGCCCAATACTATCTGTGGATGTGTCAGTCGGTGATAGGATCTACTGTTCCCAATGCGTAGCCTTACATCATCGGCAACGAAAACTGTGGCAGCGACTGAACAACAGCGGCTGATGATGCTATTCGCGCGCAGCGAACGATACCACATACGGTTTAAGTTGAGTCACGTGGACATTCAGCTGAACGTCGTTCGTCCGGTGTCGATTTGAGGGAATAGGAGAGGAGGGTAAACGTCCTTCAGGATGCATGAAAGTGCTAGTCTAAACTTGGGATTAGGCGATGCAGTTGGACTGTACTGAGCTACCGAGCACATTACCTTGACGACTGCCATCCCGCTTGAGCCCGTTTCTGCGAACGAGTAACGGAAGCTGGAAGAAGGCATCATATTCAGAGCTAAGACCTAGTTGCCCGAAAATTGTCCAATGAAGCCAATACGGTAAGTGGTACGGCGAATTTTAAATTACTGCCGTTTTCATGCGTGAGGCACACAGTCATGTGAAACATAAACCCTTCATCTAAAGATTACATCTGAAAAATAACCGGAGTCCATCGACCGTTCCGGACAGAAAGTAGTACCAGGGGAGATATTAGCGATGAGAGTAGAATGATCCTGTCCAATAAAAAGAGGTTGATGAATTCTGTCCCATCAACATAAGCGTGGTGGTGAAATAAGAATGGCAAAGGAGAAAAAATACTGCTTACCACGTAAGGAAGCGTGGTAGGTGAACAGAACGCAGGATATTAACTGCATTCCGTTGAGCTTCCCGAGCAGCGGCAACACGACCTGCACGGAATCGGACTTTGACCAAAGACAGCCACCTGTCCACTTCTCCAGGAGAAGACTTGATGAGGCGGCGCGCAAGATCTTCAGCACGCTGAAGGCCAAGACACAAGAGAACGGAGTTGAAAAAAAAAACGGAAAGTCCCACCCAATGAAACGAAGTTGCGCAAGTGAAGATTTTGTGGTGGCGCAGTGCAGATGGCGTAAGACAAACAATGGGGCGATAGAACTTTTGAAACGGTTTTATAGTTGCGAAATAAACATTACTGTTACCAGAAAAGCACGACATTTGAAGCGACTTAGAGGTACATGAACCAGTTTCGTTCCCGAATCATGCAAAGTGGTCTCAACTAAAAGACTAAAAGATTTTTCTTTAAACGTGATGCCTAATGACAATGCCGACGATCAAACCCGAACGTCAATGGAGTGAACCATGTTGATAAGAAGTTATCCTTATATTACAAAGAATGTCAAAGGCCTCGGATGATATGGAGCGGCTTGGCAATTTGATGAGGGTTTTATCGGACTATTCTAGATCTCTTTTATGTAGGAATGCCAAATGATGCAGGGAAAGTTGTAGGGGGGAGCATGTCGAGGTTTTCTATCAGAGCTCATTTTTGGACGATAATGGTACTAATCAGTGAGGAAGGAGGCATCATGGCTGAGAAAATTAACCCAACATCATCTTAATAATGTCGGGTCTCACTTCAAACTGTCCAATATCAGCCAGAATATCGATGGCTCGTCGAGTAAATGACGATTGGTCCAGATTTACCAGACGAGAAAGAACCTGCGAGAGACGACTGGCCTGTTCACTTGTCTCCAAAACGGGATCCGATCCGGTCAGGGAAGTCATCTGCTCCTGTTGCTGGATGCAGCGCTCCAATTCCTTGGCTTCCATAACCAGATAGAAACTAAGTAGCCGGGCTTGTTGTGTGTCCTGCTCACCTGGTTCAAGACCAGCTGAACTGGTAATAGCACGAAGACCTCGTTCGGCTATGGCACGTGCCTCCGTCAGACAGTGGAGCTCGGACCCGGACAATACATGTTTCATGTAGGCTGTCCAGCACGTCGCGTTTGAAGGCGCATTGCGCACAGCTAGTTCATATTCTTCTGTGGTTGTGGGCCGCAAACTACCCTTGGGTAAACACTGCTCCTCGACCGTCAGTGCAGCTAGCATGGCTTTGCGTATTTCCTTCTCTCGCAGTCGCCATTCAGCTGCAGCTGAGTTTTCTGAAATAAATTAAAATACAGCTTACTTAGGTCTAACGGTGCACACACGAGTATCAGCTAAATTAAAATATAGGTGATATTCGGGGCTTCACAGCGCATGCAGCCTATCTACATTATTCTGGGACCCAGATGAAATTAAAAAGGTGACGTAGTAGGCCACACTAAAGGTCATCACAAACCGAGCTCATCTAACAAACAAACCATGGCTGACCGCGCTAAATGTCATTCAGCGTCAAACCGTAGATATGGAGTGATAAGGATGTCCCAGCAACCAATGGGAGGTGAACCGAATCAGGGTACCTCTTGAGTGCAGAATGTATCCGTGATTGTAGAACGTTGTTGGCTGCCTTATTTTGCTTTTGGTCCGGAGTGCAAACGCGTAACAAGTCCGAACATCAGATGTCGTTTATAAGGTATACGGTAATTCAGCCGTTCATCGGCCGCTTCTCCCATTTGGGTAACTCCGAAGAGTGAAATCCACTGAAAGGCACAATTTGACCCAACCCTGTAATACTTGTTGCCGATGCAGTGTGAACAACCTTCATTTTTTGCCCGACATCATACAAAGAAAAATAGGTTTAGCGCCTGAGCAAGAGGGAACACAAACAAACTCAGACGCCTTGAATAAACACACACGTACGAGACTTAAACTGGATGTGGAGTCGCAGTAGTTAGAGTTCATGGTACCCTTGGAGGGCGTTCCAAGACGGTTTGCGGATGGAGAACAAGTCTTTCGTTGGTGGTCACAAGACACGATAAGGAAAACAAAGTCCGGTGAAACACCGAAATTCTATGACGATGATACATGGGGACAAATGTGACTGCCACAGATAGGTCTCAGACCCTGATAAGCCTTGGAAAGCACATTCGACGGATGGGTTAGAATTCACAAAATATAGTCGCACCAACCCAGCTTGCACCTAGTGAAGACGCAACCGGTTGTATTGAGATAGATCCGGGAGTAGGTACCGCATAAACAGACTTAACATTCATGGGGTATCTGTTTACGGCCAAACGTAGGTGAAAACTGTCCGAAAATCTGATGCTGCAGAAATCGTCAGTGTTCAATTTATCCAAACAATGCCGAATCGATCGATACGAAATAACCTAAATAAGTTTCATTTTCGGTAAACCTCAGCAAGCGATGAGCAGGCTAACTTCTGACGGTTATCTGAACATTTTATGCTGTTTACCAAGCGTCTGAATAGGGTAAACTCCGCACAAAGATTGAATTTGGTTGGTTCTATCGGGATTCTGTTGTAGATCTCGTAGGAACAGTTTCCATAAGTCTAGTAGCAATAGTAAGGGCGAATTCTTTCCGAAGTCACCTGTATAATCCTCAACCACGCTAATGTCTTGTCTAAAATGGGCAAAGGGAAGGCTACACTGGAATCCACTACACTTTGTTGGCAGAGGATTGCAGGGTTTTAACGTTCACCCCATTCGGACAGCCGCTTTCTAACGGTTTCATCAGTGGTCGCTGTGGGGAGGTTCTGCAGGATATCGAAGAGAGCACCACGATTTTTTTCTCATAATGCATGAGACGAAATACATCTTTAATGGTAAACTAGTGAAAGATGGGTGGAAGAGGCACTGTAAAGGCCTCCGAAAACGAGTAACAAACAATAGCACGGTCAACAGAATCCAGTAGCTTCTAAAAGTTTGTGAGGAGTTATTCATATAATTCAGAAGGGTCCATACCGACCAAGATGCCTTCAAGAGTTTTGAAAGGCAAACCCGGTGACTGTTGAAGTCTGACAAACGTTTGGGTATTACTTCGAACAAGTAACCGGTTGTAGAGATAGTACAGACAAGATATGGTGTTCTGAATACACGAGAAGTGGAAAACAATGGGTGGAGAGCAAAATTCAAATTCGTTTAAGCCTAAACTCAAAGTAGGCTTTTGAAAATAGCACAAAACACAGACAGCCGTGGTCACTTTCATCTATTACGGACGGATAGACTTCCTTAAATGACGCTAGCGGAACCAAGTAAAAAGTGGAAACGGTCTGGGAAAGGCCATAGACAACTAACTCATTCGCACCGGAAGTTCTTGTTTCCCAACTTAGGCACTCCGAAACGTCTCAGATCAGGAATGAAGGAGTGACAGCGGTTGCCTAAATCTACACTAAATGACCCTTACGCAACAAACGTACTGTCCTCAAAAAAGAGGTGTCTGTTCCCGATTTCCCGACAAATAATAACACATGCGCCCAGGCATTCCTCTATTACTGCTGGACTCACACCCTAATGAAACCGGCTGCCGTTTTAAGTGCACAGTTCTCCTCTCCCTTCCAGTCAGTCCCAAAGTAATCGATAAACGGCACTAAGGTATCTAAAACTTCCACACAACCTGCAGATGGACAGGAGTTGGGTGAAATTTGAAAGCCATAGAAAAATATATGCAGGACCAACCCCACAATCACGGTTTCTCCCCTCTGCAACGATCAACTATCAGAATAGATCACTTTTACTCAATTCTTTAAGGTGTACTTCACAAGTACTATCTTTTGGCCGTCCTCCTGTGGTAGTTTCTTTAGAGGGGGCGACTTCATAATCAATGAATTCCAGAAAGCTAAGGATGATTGACAGGATGTTGTGCATTAGTTGATCACACAAATGGTCGGCCGAGAGTAGTATCAAAACGAGGCACCATTCCGATGGCAGTTTTTTTCCAGACTTTGGGCCCGACAGGTTATAGTGTGGAGCAGAATTCAGAAAATAAAGTGCGGTCTATTTTCAAAGCGGCCCACGGTTGGAAATCATTCCTGACTGCGATTAACCAAGTTCAGATTTGGGTAATCGGGAATTATCGCAGCCACAACTATCCCACTTCGTTTGGAATGTGTAGCAGCTAAGACCCAAAATGGTGCCTACTAACAAGGACCGCTCTCCTTTCTGTGCTACTTTGACTACCAACATGATCAAGACAATTGTATGGTGCTCCTGTACTGTACGCAATAAGATCCAAAATTGAAATTAATTTCGAGTTCAGATATAGCAAAAATTGCTCGAACCTGGGGCTCATTCAAAGTTGTTTGTTATTCTTCTGTAAAATATGCAACATAGAGGTCGCCTTGATAGTCAGTTGTGAAGATATACAATAAAATTACCTCTGTTTGGCAGACAGAGTGTGCTCAGAACAAACAGATAGCCCACTAACGGTTGGGATACTGCCAGGTTACCCAAGACTAGACAGGGGGAATCGAGAGACAGAGGTCGTATTCGAACCACGGACCTTCCGGTCAGTAAATTCGCGCTCTAACTACTTGGACCATCTCACCTCCACAGCGAAAAGGGTCAGATTCCGGGGAGTGTACCCATCTCATGGGTCCCAAACTGAATTAAACCGACAGTAACTCAAAACCGGAACTTGAATATATCCTTACCAATTACAGAACGGGTAATGACTAAACGGTGTTTATTTTGAAAACGTGTTTTCGCAAAAATAAACCGGACATAAGACTTTACCTCCTAAATGTGACGACATAAGCCACACTTCACTCCTACCTTTTACGGCATTCTCTTTAGATTTTGGCTTTTGACCTTCGGAAGAGACCGGTTTTGTAGAGTTTGCGACTTTCTCGGATGATTCGAAGTCAAGTGGAAGGATAAAATCCGCATACTTCCGAAGTACGATCGGATCACCAATGTCCCAATTGTTGACAACGGCTTCGGTACGAAGGTCCTCGGCTTCTTTCGGTTTCTTCGCTGGCTGGGTCTGCTTGTCGTCGTATTCTGCGCGAGGACGCTTCATTCCAGGCGAATCAGATTCAGACACCGATCGTTTTGAAGATCGAGCCCTTTTAGGCGATCCAATCACCAGTGATTGTGCAGGTAAGTGGCGCTTGGATCCCGGTTTTTCCGACTGGGACGAATAACTAGGTTCGGGAGACTTTGAACTGTCGTAAATCGTCAGTTCCACTGGTTTTAAGGATTCTTTGAATGCATCTGTGTGCTTCTGTAGTTTATTTCTTTTCTCGTTGATTATCTGGAGCAGTTCCTGCGTGGCTGAGGCTAACAGATATGAATAGTCATCTGAAGTAGTTGCTTCTTCCAATGGTTCACTAAGTACCAACTCTCCAACTAGCTGATTTTCGATCATCCTTGAGAATATACATTTGGAAAGGAAAAGGTACGTACAGAGATGCGGTGTCAGTGGGGTGTATTGGGTAAGAGGCAACACCTGAAAGCAACACACTGGGAGTCATAACAACAAGCCGAATTGCTACTTTTCGATAGCAGAATCAGTTGTAAAAACATGGAAATTCCGCCACAGAGTTTAACCTAGGGTAGCCAGTGTGAAGCAGTGACACCGGCCACCAAACTATGACCACAAGTCAGCATTTTAGGGAGACATCAGTTATTCTTAAGTAATCCCCTCTCAGAGTGTTTTCACAAGAAACTTGTTATTTAGTTCAAAAGTCTCGATGGGTTTATTGAAACATTTTAATCAATATTCCATCCTGCATGCGAAGTCAATCTACGCTAAGAAGCAGGGCGCAACTATTTCATCCTTGTTGGGAAGTACTGGCAAACGTGCATCTCACCAGCCTCCAGGTGGACCGGAACACACGACCTCCAGGCTAATAGTTTGAGCATTTAATAGCTCGTTCAGCTGTAGCTCCCTTTCGTTGCCTGACTGCCATACCACACGAAGGAAGCACGAGGGCTGAGATACTATCAGGTCGCCAAAGCCTTGACAGGGGAAGTCGAGAGGCAGAGGTCGGGTTCGTACCACAGACCTTCCGGTCAGTAAATTCGCGCTCTACCCACTTGGTCCATTTCGCTCCATTTAATAGCTCAGTTATGAGTAGTTGATCAGTACTGTACTCACTGGAACCTAGCCAGCATATACATCACAAGAGGGCTCATAGGATAACAACAGAAAGAAACTTCAACTTGAAACAGACATCGAATCACTTCTGGTATGGAAAGCTGGAAGGCAGAATCGAATAACAGACGTGGCATGTGGCGAAGTGCGTGGGGCTTCGATTGAAGAACAAATTAGGTACCAAAGTAGCCGGCAAAGACCAAAGACTTACGAATGATTGTAGATCAATCGGTTGATAAAAAATGGAGCTCTCCAGTAAGATTTGATCACGATAACTAAAAGACGTACCTGAGTGGTCGCACACAAAGGTGGTCACCAACACGAAAACGGACTTCAGCAAGGCGAAGACGCTCCTGCAGTTCGGGTGAAAACGGTATCAGCATGTCATCTCTATGGGTTAGGCTACAGGTGCGACAAAAAAGCGGAAAAGGGATCAGTACGGACAGTCCAATGTAAACCTAGCACGGTGCGGCTCAGGGATACGAAAACATCAGAAATGGGCTACACGATGTAGGCATAAATCCGGGTGTCACTATCTCCCATGACACCGCTTAACCGGTTGAATAGATTGGAGCTCATCATGGCCGGACGGCTGATGGGCATATTGGGCCGTACTGGAAAGGCGGCACACGCCAGTTTATTCAATTCTTAGTGGTCCCACAAAGGGTCTTCCGCCATTCCGACGACTTGTTCCGTGAAAATTGAAAATCCATATCACTCTGCTGCCTTGCAGTTGGACTGTTGACACCCTGTCCTCTTATTCAAGTTTCAAAGTCCTATAAGTTTTGCCAACAAAAGCGAATTCACACGACCGAAAATCGTATCGTGTTCGGAGGCCAGTCGTCCCTAATAACCGAACATCACATCATTTGGACGGATGTGTCACGTGCAAGATACGGACCAAACGAAGGCATACCCTGATTGGTCAGAATACCAGCCAAGCACCTGTGACTCGACGCTTCTCGCCCCCTCACGAAGATTCTGGCACGACCTTGTGGAACACTCTGTGACTACCCTATAAAAACAGTTGTAATAATTTTCCTTTGTCTCTATAAAGGGCTGTCTAGAGCTACCGTGCCTTTTGATATACCATAGTGGGCGGAGCAGGAAGCCAAGGGACCGATACAGAGTTGCACGATCGTCCATCAAGTTACAACATATCGGTTGGGTCCTCTCATCGTTGAGCACAGAAGTACGGATAAACTGAACCACGCAGCTAGTGAAAGCGACTTTTTGGCTCTGCAAAATAATCCTGCTTATCAACCACACCTCATCGCCCTATCTGATCATCCAATGAGTCTACTATCTCTGTTTGCTTCCCACTATTCTCCGTTGTTAAGGGTATTAGGTATAGTGTCCGTCTTAGACCGTGACCAAAGGAAGGTCATTATAATAACCATAGTGAAAAAGAGAGAAGTTGCCCCCCAGTAAATGGGAAAGGACAGGGCCAGAAAGGATACAGACTCACGATACAAGCAGTCCATTCGGTGACCGTATTTTGATGAAAGCTTCTGCAGCTGAATTGAGGGTGGGCGTTCGCTTACTCCAACATTCGACTCCACCCCTACTGAAAACGGGAAAAACAATTGCAAAGGAAAAAAAGCTTTGGAGCGGAAAAAGGCTGCGGTGTGACGTGAAATGAATGAAATTGCAGTGATCTGTCCTACGTCGTGGATTGAGCTCGAGTCTGTGATGGAGTTAATCTGGAAGCACTTACAACTTAACACGGCAACGGATTCCCATAAAGTACTCCTATGTACTGATTTCCCCCTTGGGTTGCAAGACACCCATATAGCAGAACAAGGTCACAGCTGTTTTCTGGTTACTCAACCCTATAGCACAGAATCGCCGGGCAAGATCAAAGAAGTTTTGCGCCAAGTGACACAACAACCGCAACTGTTCAACAACGAGAGAATCGAGAAACGCACAACTGTCTTGCTTCCAGTGTGAAACAATGAATATCAAGATCGACAAAACACAGAGTACGAGTATTTAGACAAATCACTTAGTTGATAAACCCTGTCGGTGTCCTACTGCTATGCGACCAGAAGGAAGCACGAGGGGTGGGATACTGCCAGGTTGCCCAAGTGTAGACAGGGGAAGTCGAGAGGCAAGGGTCGGGTTCGAACCGCAGACATTCCGGTTAGTAAACTCGCGCTCTAACCACTGAGCCATCTTCACCCTGAGCACTCCACACTCGTAATGTCAAGGATGGTTGATACTCAAGGCTGTTACCAGTCAGGAGAAAGTTCGGTAGATGACTGGTAGACCATAAGCTGTTTTTGTAGAGCCGGATATCGAGTGAACTATACCGATTGTCAAAATTAACGAGTGCGGGTATTAAATCTCGGTGGTTAAACACCGGATGTTTTTAAGGACGACAAAGACCCATACCGGCAAAAATACAAGTCCCTTATCCCACAGAAAACTCGGTTCGACAACAAAGTGAGATGGCTATAACTGGACGATAAAAGCAGTAAACTGGTGAACAACAGGAGAATCAAAATGCATCTCACAAAGTAGACCCCCTTACACAACATCCGGTTTCGTTGAAACATAGTACAGAGGAGTGCGAACTGTAGAGTCTACATCTTTCGATTGGTTCTCCAATTTGTCGATGATACGGCACGTGATCAGACGACCTTTCTTCAACCCGGTGCCAAGGTCTTTTCGGGTAGCTAGCGACGGATTCGGCTGCCTGGCCTGATTGCCGGTGTTTGTCTTAGCTGCAAGGTCAAGCGGCTGGGGTGTTTTGGAGTGCAACATGGCGGTAACGTGTATGCGACCCCGGGCACCGCCGGGAAGATGAACTGCCCAGTAATCTTGATGCACTTGAATCAACTGGGCACATACCAAGTCTCCAACTGAGACCTGAGGTTTTTCTACAACCAAGTGAAGTGAATAATTGGGACTAGACAGAGTATGGGAAGATATTGATACTTCGTTAGTATTTCGAGTGAAATAAACCCAAAGAAAAACAACGTATAGAGATCACCACCTTGATTTCACTAACGTTCCTGCCAATATGAAACCACCACTTGGTGCCTACCACCGCCACTCATCTCGCACTACGCGTGTTCCAAGAATGTGTATCAGTCTTAACATTCCGCCCAATAACTGCATTGGTCAATAAAGGGATAAATCTCATCCCTAAAGCAAATCAAATAAAAAAAGACAGCCATCATCTAAGCCCGATGGTGTTACTGTAAACTTTTGAGCGGACAAACTCAACTTGAACACACGATGGAAGAGTTCAAGTGGGCACCTTACTGTAATAGTCAGTCGGAATTCGCAGAATGCGCACAACTTATTTGACGTTTAATCTGATTCACGAAATAACCGGAAGCCGCCCGATGAAAGTCATAAGGGAAGATCATCCAGGACGGGCCATGTGAAATACCTAGAAATATCCAAGCCGAATTACGCAACGTCACCGTGTTACATTTTGTGCGGGTACTTCCCTTCCTCCCCATACCTCAGTTCACAATTCGGAGATAGCCTGGTATTCAGCAACATACTACCCGTTTGGACTGCAGAGGACGAGGGACCGCCAACTCAACGGTAACATTGAGTGAGCCTCGCCCATCAGACCCATGGACTGAGAAACGTGAGTCACTATGTAGGCAGACGAACACAGGTCACGGCGAAGGAGGACGGGGAAGGTCAAGTCTCAAGACTATCCGGGTACCCAACAATTAGAAAAAATTCAACAGGAATGTTAAAAAACTATCAAAGATCGGTCAAGGCCGACCCGAGTCGACTTAGCTCGGCCACTTACAGATTCAGGCACACATTTTCAACCTCAAAGCGATCCCAATCACAAAGCACTGAAAAAGTCACCTAGACTGAATCTGAAACGTTCGCGACCAAATTGTCCAGTTCACCGAACAAGCCAACGGCCAGTAATTGACATTTACAAAAAAAACACCCACCCAAGAACGAAATTTCCGGCAAACGTGCACTCAATGGTCCCCGCCTGTTCGAACTATGGCGTTGATCTTGTGCGCTTGTATGTAACACCGTTGCAGTGTGTGGCATTACCGTCCCAACGGGGGGTGGATGAAGTTGAAAAGCGCGGACTGCTTTGGCTGTTTGGGCGATGTTTACCAGATGACAGAAAACAACTTGATGTTTGGAGTCTGAAAGCTGGAAGAAAGCAATATTTCCAACCAAGCGGTCAAATCGAAGGCCTGAAAGCTGTTGGCCCTCCACAAGGTCCACAAGTAAATCTGTGCTGGAGTAATCTTCTTGTGAAGGGACTACACTTTTTGATTTCAAAGATAAGGAGCGGCGCGCGGGCGGATTGGTGATTGGATCGTAAATGGCCAAAGTACACAGGTGGACAGATGGGGTGGTCCCTTCATCGCTGAAAATCCTGATGAAGAGAAATAAAGGATTCAGTCGGTCTTCCGAAAGAATACTGAAGGAACGAAACGGTTAGTAGGCAATGGTAATACACAACAAGAACCGGAAAAATCACGAGCTTCTGTCAGCTCAGCTTTGTTAAGATAACATGTGGGCTGTCAACACGACAGTGAAAGTCGCTGTAATTGGAGATAACGGCTATTGTACTGCTTGCACGCGACCACACCAAACTTTGCTTTGGGGTAATGTCAAAAGAAACGAGGATCAATTCTCGACATGCGAATTAGAGCAGCGTCAGATAGTCGCATTAAAACCTTTCGAAAAGTAGACAGAGGTTAGAAAAACATGGCCAGTCAGACCACCGAATTGCTATCAACGATGTCAGACTAATTATAGTAGATTCAAGCATATGAGAACAACAGTTTGAACTTGCACAGTCTTCCACAAGTAGGAACGGCTTCAGATAAAACGGGATGAGTAGGATCTTGACTATCCGAAAGAAAGCCTAAATAGAAGTTTTAGAGAGTGACTGACTGGAAAATCAGCATGAACAATCCTTAAAATTTCATTGCATCCCACATCGTGCCTCGACTTTGCGATAAGGTGATATTTTTCCTCAAAGGGTCCAGTAAATACAACCGGGAAACAACATACCTTGTGAGGCTGTAAGCCTCAAGTAAGATTGTGACACAACCTCAGTCCAGGCGAGTGGAAGGTTGATCGATCGACTTTGCTGAAGACCACTCAACACAGCGAGAACAGCTAAGATCTCTAGGAAGTTTTACTCCTAAGCATTTCAAGGCGCTGACTTTTGGAAGGGAAATGATGACAATGTGGAATGGGGGTGAAAGAGCACAGTATACTGAAAAAGAGAATACTTCTTGGGCCACTTAAGTGCTCTTCAATGGTTTAAATATGCTTCGGCACTGCAATCGGTATAGCCTATCACAACAGCGTCGGCATTCCTATACTGGATGAGTGAACCAAGAACAAGTACCTTGTCGACATGGGGGAGAAAGCAGAGGAGAAAGCGCTATCGTCGGCGGATAGCGGGGTAGAATATCAGCCACCTGAGCTCGTGACCTAGGTCAGAGTGGTAAAAGGCTCTGAACCCAGCTGGTTGGATCCTGCCGAGTTCTGTCTTCCGTAAGCAGCTGTTAGACTCTCCTTTATTGCACCAAAAAGTATTACGGTCTCGTCATTACTCGTTGTCGAGAAAGAACTGAATGAAATAGATATACAACGGCACTCAGCATTTAGTGCGACCGCCACTGAGCAAACTGGTAGGCGAAATGGTTTGCACACCATCAAAACCGCACTGCTTCGAACACTCAGCAAAGTAGCGGTAAGTTGTGGGTAGAAACCTGGTAGTTCCTTACTTCAGTATCAGTGTTAAACTTGCCATTCGAGTCACTGACGATCTTCCAAATGATGGAGCACTGGTTGAAAAAGGTGGTCAGGCAAGCGCATCCCTCAAGTATTTTAACTTTATGGCTGCATTGTTGATAGGCGCCAATTGAAATAGATGAGAGGTTCGTGGCACTTAGACGCTGCTACCTAACGCCAGAAGCAAAAATATCCGAATATAAGACTTCAGATAATCGCAGTCAGTAGCATTGCAGTTGAAACAACAACCAGCACATGGAATTCCATGCCAAATCAAATAGCACAGTTGACTTGAAAGAAAATTCCAAGAAAAGAAGCGCAGCTAAGTAGAAAAGGCTCTGCCATTCAGTCACTGGAAGACTCTTCGCATCCCGATGTGTGCATGTAAAAGGGGAAGATTTACAAAAACTGGGGATTCTCCAGATTATAGAGGAGGCCACCATTTTAGCCCCGGATGCAGTCGAAGAAACCGCCAAGTGAATGTCTGCTTACTGATGAAAGGCGGGAAATATAAATAGAGTAGTTGTTGTAGTTGTATTTTTAACCACGCGAAGCTACACATTGTCTACCCATTTCTCACACTGAAAAAATAGAGCCATCTCACCGGAGATATGTACAAGAGAGATATGATTCTCCAGCAAACTACCGCCAATCACATCTGTGGTGCCCTCGTTTGTTGGGGGAATTGAATCTCCAAAAATTGCCTATCTTTCATGTACCTAAATCCAATTGGTTTCTAGAATGATTGGCCTTTTAGCTGGTACCTTATTGTCAAGAACCCTGACAACACTGAGCGCTGGGGCAACAAAATACGGTAAGGTTGAGTCAGATAACGAACACCAGCCGCCAGACCACGGAAAACTTTTATAAAGATGAAATGCACTATTCGCGTTCCGACAGCTTCCGTTATATCAACCGCACAAATCAATGCGCAACTATACTTGGATCTCACATACCTTGCGATGAGGCAGTTTGTCAGGAGCATATAGAAATACTTAGCCTGTTTACTCTTGAAGTCAGGTTCCACTACAGCTGAGCCTTTGATCTTATTCGAACGTTGTGATTGGTCAGTTTGACGTGGATTACTGTGTATCGGTAGAAATACATCTACCCCATCCAAGTACTGATACTTTCAAAGGCGAAGAGCGCTAATCCTCGTTTTGACTACTATTAGTAGCTCAACAACATAAATCTTCATACAACTATCCAAGGATTGTGTTGATGTAGTAAGAACGTAACCGCGTAAAGGCAGCGTACCTGAGCTGTGCAAAGCACTCTACACAAAGTGACTGGTGTCCAAAGTGGATCTTCCGCTCAGCGACAGTCGAGTCATAGAAGAATGAATCGTCCTGGCTCAACCCATTGCCTCAAACAAGCCAACATACTTGCAGCTCTCCCAGTGTTGTCCTACGTTGGTTTTCGATATCAACTGCGTAGTGACGGGGTGAAGAAACGAAGCTTATTCACACACACACAGTCACGTCTGCATCACCTAAATTCTACCATACACTGTATACTGCTGTCAAGCAATTGCAGTGAGGAGTGATCACTCCAAACAGCATCGCACCTGTTAGGCAAACATCACGGACATTCGTACACTGCTGAACACGTGTACTTGTCTCAAAGGTTAGTTAGGCCAGAGCAGGAACAGTAATGAACAACTTGGAAAGGATGAACTGCAGTGAGCACTACAACAGACTGTTGCCATGATGTCCCATTGGAAGCTGAATTATGACATCCATGGCCTCCAGATGACACTAGACATAATAAGAATGACAGTAAGACACAAACGAACGTTGTGAATAAACAAACTATAAAGTCGCATATTTTTTATACAGAAGTGGAGTTGACTACAACCACTTATCGGAAAATCCTTTAATGAAAGTTGTGTGATGAAGTTCTGAATTAAGTCGACGACTGAAAGCTCGACTCTAAGGGCACAACGGAGAGCTTCAGTATAAAAGATCGAACTTCGTACACCCTGTGACGTCTCTTGACAAGAAACTAAGAATCTCTGAAAACAATACAACTTACTGGCGCAAAGTGACATCATTGCGTTGACCAACTGCCCACGCGTTCCCACCCAAAACATCATTGAAGGTTCGTCTGGCGGGCAGAATCCCAAAGCAACCAGAGGCGTGCCCACGTAATGCAGCCACCGCTATAGTGCGACTCCGAAACGCGATTGTTATCGACGAAACTTTCTGTCCCAAACGTGGAGTAGAAGCAGCATTATTCTTTCGATTCCTCACAGAGTTTACCAACCAAGTAGACAATGCGACCTCGAGACGTTCAGCAGTAGGATCAATAAAAGAGACGACTCCAGCGTAGGTTTTACCCGGGACGCATTCAATGCCATCTGCGTTGGCGAGATACGCAATCGCGGGAATCGGGTGTTTGCCGACCTTGTCTGCCTTGAGTCTCGAAACTTGGCCACTAACTATTATCGTATCCAATGCTTCGGCTTGAAATTCGATTAGATCCCCAATGCGAAAACTAGATAACAGATGCTCTAAAAAACGAGACAGTGTAGAGGTCCGTTACCAACAAAAACGTAAAAACGTGGGACAAGGGCGGTGTGTGAATTTCTCCTTGTTCCCGTAGGGAGGATAGCCGATAGACAGCATGAAGGAAGAGTGTTCGTTCATTCCAGTACAGAATAGAGACATGGTGAAGATCCGTTGCTTGTTATGGAAAAACGGTGACAAAGAAACCTTGGTGAAACTCGATGTGCTACTGAAGTGATTCCCTCCAAGTTTTCATGGGCAAGGACAAAGCTTCTCTGTCCGGTAGAAATTTCCAACGAAGGTAAACCAGGAAAATTTGCTTAGCCGGACAGAGAGTGGTGCGAGGGGTGGAACCACGATGGTACCGAAGTAGGGCACGTGAATGATAATGTTTCCATGGAAAATGGGACCCCTAGACGAAGGGCCGGTTTAAAATACTGAGTAAGCTCCCTCATGATCACCTTGAGAATGTTGAGGAGTGAAGTCTAAGGGCTTGGTTAGCCGTTTGTGCTTGGTATGTCAGGCTGAGCAGTGGGAACCTAGTTATGAAACACAGAAACTTTTGGAATGACATCTTGACGATGACCCCAAAAACCAGCTGTTTTTGGGCCATTCACGTCAACATTGACAGCATAACATCAGCGTCCAAAACCAATGGTTCGCCGCCGGACAAGCAAATTTATCTGAAACCCTTACTACGAAGAAAAAACTGATGGCGAATGGACTTAATGCTAACTTATTACAATCATTCTGAGGTGCACACACCCCCAGACATTCAGTCAAACAATCTGGATAAAGACTGATAACAAGAACGTCTCTGAATCGATCATCGGCCATATCTTACAGAGTCTCTAATCATACAGAGTGGGGACCACAAGGATACCCTCCAGGAAATCGAGTCAAACCGACAGTACCTAGATTCCTCGTGATCGACTTCATTTCCCTCCTTCACTTCACCCCTTGCACGACTCCTAATTCAGCATGGGAAACAGCACTCTCCTCAGTAATTCGGCGTACGCGATACATGGCCAAAAGAGATTCTGGTGCTGGATACATTCTTCGAATGAATTCCCCGTCACACAGCCAAACAACCGTTTTCTGACTGCCTCGCTGCGAATTCGCCGACACCAACTACCACGAGCTATGGTTCTGAAACAACAGCTGTCGATGACCTGAAAATGTCGCAGTTCCGCTGCTCAAAGAGGCCACGTATCACAACCGTACCTTAGACCACTGTGTGACACAGTACACTCGCAGAACCAGTACTACAAGAGCCGAACAACGACCACTGTTCAATCTCAAATCAAGCTGAACCGTTGTGCGCAACCGTCGACCAGGTACGCCACATAGATTGAAAACAAGGTGTATGAATGTTTCACGCCTGTAAACTAATTAAGAGGAGCTATATATCCAGTATTCGGGTACTAGTTATAACAACTCGCGGTAACACAAACAAAACTTACGTCGACGGGACAACCACTCCAACTCCATTATGCAGCTCTCCAGCGACCGGATCGCAATATCAACGTAGTGTTCTTCGGCAAAATAAGTATCCAGCATTCTCAGAGTGACTAGACAGCGACGTTTTTCGGACGATGCCAGTTCGACAACTTTAGCGATGACAGTCGCGCCCGTAGGAAACAGGCTAGTCAGTGCAACGTGTTTGGGAATACGAGTGTCCGTCAAAAGACGCACGGGGGCCAGACCGCGAATACCAGAAGGAAACTGCACGAAAATGCCGTAATCAACGTGATTTACTACCCAAGCAAACCACTGGGTGCCGACCTTTAGAAAAGTGAGATGAAAACAATGTATGCACAAGTTAAGATGCCGAAACAGGGATGGGGAAAAGCAAGAGAGGTGGACCATAAGAGCATTGCGCTAAACCTAACTATCTGCCAATCGACCTGAAATCGGCCCGTTTAGCTAACCCTGACAACTGATACAAACAAGAAATCATCAAGGTCATTCATCAAGGCTTTCTGATTCGTGGAGCAACACCCTACGCAATAAGCGCAAGCCTGTTATGAAAGGAGTAAAAACTAAACTTTATGGAAACGTATCAAGCCAGGTCAATTTTCGAAACAAACAATATGCTATTTGAATTTCCAAACCAAAAATAGCTTCAATCTAAACTGCTTATGAAGACAAGCATTATGATATGTTGATTTAAACGAATATCACAAATCCTAGTCACATTTGCCGAGTTCAATTTTAGAGATGATCCTACATGTTAGTTTTGTTTGACCGCAAGATGAAAGGTCGTTCAGTCTGGAAAGCTCGGGGTGAATAAGCACCAAACCGTGCCTTTTTACCGCCTTGTCTCACACCTGTAAGCTGTCTTCATATATCAACCAAGTATCTTGGGTGCAAGCCAAGTGAAACGATCTGGACTGATAAATGGGATTTCCATGGGATAGCACAATCGAAGCAGAACTCTATGTAGCTTGAGAGTACACCAAAGTATGTGGATAGATCAGCGTACCTAAAGTAGAAGTCTGATCACGCACCGATTAGAAGACAAACGGGTGTTCCGAGGCTGTAAGAGTACACAAGTGGGGAGTTTAAAGATGCTTAGTAGATAACGGTATGAGCGCGGATTTGTAAGTTCACAGTGCCAAACCGTTTTGTTTGGGAAACGAATTATCAGATTGGTCAACACAGACCAAGGGGAAGCACAGATCAGTATTATGAGGAGACATGAGTATACTTCCTAAGGTCTGCACGTTGACAGTGCGGAAAGATATATATATATTTTAAAAAAACTTTTTAAACCGTGCGAATTATGCTAAATATCAACACTCCAACTAATAACATTCCGAAGACTAAACACGAATTCACTCCTACGGGTTACATCGGTGACGATAGTTGAATCGGTCTATTTAGTTCAACAGTGAATGATGAAAGGAAACAGGCGAATCCAGTCATAAACCGTCAGAGTGGTGTTAGTTGGCAGCTGCAGCCGAAGACTTAAAGGCCTCACTAGCTTATTTGGGATACTGGTTTGGTGCACACCCGCAACACAAACCGGAGGAGGCAAGAGGGCTGTGGTACTATCAATTCGTCCAAGACAAGAGCAGTCGAAAAGCTGGTATTGGGTAGTCCCACACCCTGATTGCTGAATCATTAGAAATGAGTTTTGAATTTCGAGGACTGCGACTGTCTAATGAGTTCCGGACATGACGAAACCTGCAATCAGTTGTCGGCGGATTCGATCAGTCGTCTCAGATTGACCGATATTCGGTGTGGGAAACTTGAAATCGCTCGCAACAAAGCAAACACTGTAGACCTTGATGGCTCTCCTGTACGCCAAAATCCCGGCTTTTGATATGGTAGTGCGGCGCCTGCTGTCACTTGGTAAGACATTCTCCCTCCCAGATAAGTTGCAGTCAGATCAGCACAAATATGGGCACTTACCACCTCAAAAATGACAAATTAGGTTTGCTTAAGCGAGTTACCGATAGGGGATCTACACCGTATTTTACTACTGTTCCAAAACAGAGACTTTGCTCCCGACATACGGTGGTCTTTCTCTACGACCGTATCGTGCATTGCTAACTTTGATTATGATCAATCTGAAGGTTTGTAGGCATTGTCCAATTCATGGAATCCTTTGGTTTTCTGCCTGTACAAAGAAATGGCATGAAAATAATGGCAACTTGATCATACTTACCCTCAAATCGTTAAAATCACTAACAAATCCGGTATGTATATCGACGACGTTTTTATTCTCCGCATCTGATTCCGCGAGTTGATGGTTGGAAGCAGCCCTCAAAAGACTTGGACGTGCGGAGACAATTACTGTGGAAGAGGCCTTGTTGATGACGACGACGGAACGTGGTCCCGATCGGTCCAGATCCAACACCGCCCCAGGTTTCAATCGTGTCATGAACTGTGCGAACAGGGCACAGTTACTTTCAAAATCAGATAGGTGATCAAAAGCTAGAAAGCCAGACCCCACTGATCCTGACCACATAGATGGATCTTTGGAAGTGTTGTCTGTAGGAAACAAATCGACGTGAAGGCCGGTGTTTTGAACTTTACGAACCTTGGCGTTAAAAACCTGGTTGTATCGAAGGAGATCAGGTGCAATAAGAAGTAATATAGGATAAACAGATGGAGTCATACAACCAAAAAAGAAACAAAACTTACTTGACCGACGTAAACGGAACTCAGTTGTGTTTTCCGCTGCTTTGTCGAAGGCTCATTTTTGCCTTTTAACTGGAAAAGAAAATCCGTAAAATGTGGTCGACTTTAAAATGCATGCCTAATAAGATTAATCATCTTGTTCCCTGTATACGTGAAACGACACAACATAATGGGAGCAGCGACAGAACACCCTCCAAGTCAAGACAAATGAAGCTTCATTCACACTGAGGCAAAATGTCAGCATACAATTTGCGCAACGGAATCATATATAAGACCAGAACTACTCTTCAATGGCACTCCACCACATATCTAGGGGAGACGCATAGGTAGAGCGCAAGGTGGTGGAGTTATCTGGACAAGTGGCTAAATGGAAGGCAGCAGGATCGCGGCAGGCGCATTTTGTTCCGACGACTACGTGAAGTGGACCTGATGTCGTTTTAACTGATGAGAAGTGTTGGAAGAACTCATCGGACGAAATTGGAACAAGCATCAAAGCGCCTGCTTGCCCACTGTAGTATACACATATTTCAGCAACCTGATAGTAAGATAGTAACCATCAATGGCGGTTCGAACCCGATCTCAGCTTCTCGACTTCCCCTGTCTAGGCTTCGGCAACCAGCCAGTATCCCAGCCCCGTGCTTCCTTCGGGTGGCATGGCAGCTAGGCACAGAAAGGGTGCTACAGCTGAACGCCTTGGAAATGCAGGAACACTAGAATTGTGGGTCACTTGTACGTATGGTTTTAATCTAGCGCCTGACGAAGTGTGAAGATGTGGTTAACGTAACCCCTACCAGTCCAAAATCCCGCTTGCTGCTCTCGAGTCAGTGTCTCACGAGCCACTGTAAGCAACGAAGCACAATTGACACCAACAGTTTCGTTACGACGGGGGTTAATCCGATAAACCTGTGGTGGCCACACCCAATAAGAGCCCCTTTTTTGAAAATGGGTACTATCATCGACTTGCTCCAGTTGTCTGGGAGAAACTCATTTTCCCAAATGCAAACAAACAGACCAGAGGAACTCTGAATGAGGACAATGCAGGTGGGAGGTCACCCGGACAAGAGGCTCGGTGGAGCTCAAGAGAACACACGCAGTCATAAACCTTCAAGGCTATAGGTGGTTTCACGTTCACCGTCAAGGGTTCTACGTCATCTGTTGGCTCCAGACGGGTGCCAGCTGGCGGCCATGACAATTGTTGTTCGAAGTATTCGGCCCATCGGTCGAGGCGTTCTTCTTTATTCGAGATGTTCACTCCATTCCGATCCTTGGTGGTTTCGCTCACAGGTGGCTTCGCACAGGGGCGGTCGCACGAATCTTCGGGCATTACCGGTTTTCTGGGTCTCTTCCATTTCTTTGGCTTTCTGTGTCTACTTCACGGTCGGTTTGCACGCTCACCTTCATTTGACGCCTGATAATTCATTGCATCAAGTTATGTTCGGGACCGGTTGGGGTATTTCACCGAGATTTAAGCAGTGTCACCGTTCGGTCTGATATCCAGTGTGCAGTGCGCCTGGTGGTGCCGTGCCACAGGCGATATTACCAGCACTATGAAAAGAGGTGGCAATCTCGTCCCAGTATGAGTTCACATCTGATGGTGGAGCATTTCGAAGAGTTTACAAGACGATTCGGGTAAGTTCGCCTAACATCCGGATCTGCCAGTGTTTCAGTTGCCAAACAATTTGACCGCACCTCACGCGGCCCTGGTAAACTCAGGAAGAAGCGAGTCCACAAATGTGCTCCAAACTACCGGCAATCAGTTATTGATCCGCGCCATCGGTAATGTGGTCGATTTGAGATTGTGGCCGTCCTGTCGTTGGATACCATGTGGCCAGACGACCTCGGCCATTTCGGAAGTTAGTACTGCATAAAAACAGCCTGCAATCAGCACACAGCTGAAGCAATCGTTCCCCATTGTCCGTACGTACCGATTCCAACGCATGTCGACCTCCTAGTTGAGTCTCAGATATACTAAGCCTGCCCACTTGTGCATTCATATCTCCGGCAACCACCACGATGTCTGAGCTTTAGTTCACCACAACAGGGCATTCAGGGCGTCGTAAAATCTGTCTTTGACGGCGTCGGAGCTACAGTCAGTTGGAGCGTAGGGAGAAGAAACATCGATCAACTTCCCACTTGCGAGACTCCTTCACAGACGTTGCCAGACGAACCACGCAGAGGCGACTATCAGCGGGCATCCAGTCAAGCAAGGATACTTCTGCCCGGTGACCGGGCGATACCAAACCCTGCACATCCCACCGCAGCAGCCTCCGGATCATCAGAGTTGTGCAGCCGGAAGCGAGTGGAGACTGACGGAGCAGTTAGCTCAATCATTGTGCTTGCATCTTGAATTCTCGTTTCTGAGACACAGCACACATCAATGCCAAGGGAGTCCAGTGTGAGTTTGAGAGAAGCTTGTTGTCCTGCTTGCTTCAGAGTGCGGACATTGAACGCGGCCAGATAGACTGGGTGTCAGAGCTTGAAGACTGATTTGGAGATACCTGAGGATGTCGGTGCAATGTGACGAGCAGATGCTGCACGCAAAACCGATGCATGATGAACGGAGTCATCAGTCCTAAGTGCTGGGCCTACAGGAGGAGAGTTATTAATCGGGTGTGGAGAGAGGGAAGAAGAAGAGAAGAGAAAAAAGAGAGGCGACAGTAATAGACTTTTCGCTTACCCGCCCTACTGTATGCAGCGAGTAAGGCCCGGCCCGAGTAAGACCCAGCTGATGGCACCCTGCGACGGCCGATTTGGCATGAGTTTATTTATAAATGTGCAGTTTACGGTTGTATATGGACTGGAATACTGTCAGGGCACCCACACATAGACAGGAGGACGATTAGGGTCCTCATCCAAAACTTTTCGCTCGAAGGCCTAACCGCAAGGCAGCGGTGTTCGGCCGGAAATGCGAACGCATTACCATTTCAACGGAACAAGTCACCCCATGTTTCAACCCTCAACCTGGAAGACCAGGAAACTGTTCGTCAGACCTCTAACTCTTGACCAACCTGTTAGGAGAGGCTCTGTGTCACGGTGACACCATCCCACCGAAAAACACCCCTCCAAGTATAGCTCAATGGATCACTGAGATGCGCAAACCGTCACACCGCGGTAAGGTCCAGTCTCTTGGTGACGGTCTCCACAAAATAGAACCCATGGTTCTCATTGGGGCATCGATCGGAGAACAAGTCTAAAGACAACAATCGGGAGCGGGATGGCGTACGCCCGTGAGTTTTTCAGAAACTTATAGTCCATGCGGGCTTATAGTCTAACATAGGGGGCAACACTTGGATACTGACGCAGAGGGTCTTCATAACGAAATGGTGGCTGCTCTTTACCATGTTCTCAGGATTGACATCCGGAAAACACCAGTGAGGACAACCAAACAGCAAAGCATTAATTTGGAGAGTACAACGATCCATAAAAGTGCAGGAAAACGAGCTGACGAATGGTGGAAACCCTCCAATTAGTTAACATATACGTTTAAACAGCGTCAATCAGTGGTAAACCAACATTCTGTGAGCCATTGGTAGCTGAACGCCATATGAGACCCTGTTATTCGCCTAAAGAAAACGGTGAAAGAGCTCTACAAACAGTTAATATAATTGAGCAAAAAATAAAAGGTGGGAAAATCAGAAATGTCAAACCGTTTGTAACACCACACCTCTAGATAGTGCATCAAGAGGAGAATCAATCGGATACAGAGCGACGGATTGTTACTGAATCCCTCGAGTTGATTGTTCTGAGGAGCAGAGATGCAGGTGAAACTACGGTTTCAGTAACTAACCTTGAGGGAGACAAGAAACTTCGAACGTGATCTGTTGGGCTCGGAAGTTTCCTTACCACCATCCTGCGAACTGTCATTCAGAGCGTGGACAATGCGCACGCGAAGAACTTGCCCTCGAAAATAAGTAGCTTCTAGCACATCCTCCGGCGCAAGGCCTGTCTCACGCCTGGGTAGCCATGCTCGCAGTTCACCCAATCCAGACAGTAGCAAACCCCGTTCGCTGATCTTTACCACAAACGCAGCGAACAATGTCTGATCTTTTACACCACGCTGAACCCAATCGAACATTTCTTTGCTTCCGAGCAGAGGACATGACGCGTCAACCAGTCCACGTTTTGCTGTCAGAATCAATTTGTTTGCTCCCTTGTCCAGAGTAAGAACCTAGGCAAAAAAAGAGACGAAATGCATTCGAGAAATGGTTTCAGATCAGTTATAACCTTCGACGCCAAGTAAGGACTATAACTGACTAGCTCAGTCAATTAATTTGGCGGCTTCGAAGTCACCATAAAAACACCCTACCCTGATGGGCTCAGTGAAGTACAGTACAGTGAAGTACTCCGAGAAGTACACAGCAGAGTACATGTTTTGACGTAACACGCTTTTGAAAATGTCACAGCATCCAATGTCTGGAAAATTATGCATACTGATTGAGTGTCCACGATGAGAAAGCAAAACGCGACCAGCACAACCACTGAGATAAAGTTTGGTCAAGGGGGACAAAGCTACCAATTCAATCTTATGAGTGTCTGACAAAGGGTTGAAATTTGTCATTCAAACTAACTGAACGAAATGTCTGTGGAGGAACAAGCTGGAGCTGTAGCGCCAACCTCAATAACTCTGTTGGAATGGGTTCAGTTAGGCTTGGGAAAAACCGGTGTGCATCCACCCTAAGAAATTGCGATCAATCGAAAATTATCAGGGACAAGATGTGAAGGTCAGTGGGTCACGTAACTCCAATATCATTTGGTTAAAACATCACCACCATCATCATCATTGGCAGCAATGTCGAAATGGGAAGGCTAATGCTTCACTGCAGTACAATCATGTTAATTTATTTGACCAGAGCCCTATATTGGAAAGAAGAAACAAATAAGGCAGCGAGGGAGACCAGGGATAGCCTACCGAATACATCCGAGGTGTTTACATTTGCAACACTCAGTTAGACAATCTGGATAGAAAGTGACACCATGAACGTCACTGACAACAAAGCGTCCAACACCTCCAGCCACATATACAGAGAGTCGTCTGGACCCATGTTGCAATAACGCCCAAATGTTTTCCCAACATCCTTCATTCTCTTCTACCACCTCAAACTCTGTCCACCTCTAGGTTTCCGCCACTCGAACTTAGGTCAAAACATAGCGAGTACGTAAACGCCAGAACGTACGCGACAATCAATTTTCTGCCCACGTTGGAATTTCTCCGCCGGACGCTTCAACGGTATATCTGCAAGATGTAGATAAGGTATCAGCCCATTGAGTCTGTCCTCCGCACGAACAACAACGCCAGTTTTCGTGAAGCGGTTCACAACGGCCTAGAGAGTGGGGCGAAATTCAAACGTTAGTGAGAACACTGATATACACAGACCATGAAGCTAAAATTTTCGGATTTACTGGGAATACCTATTTAGTGTAGTGCTCTAGTTAAAACGAACAAACGAAGGTGTACATTTGCATCTAACAGGAACTAGAAAGACATCGTCCTATTGTGCTTTCTTAGTCCAATTTTTCCTACAGTAGTTTCAACCTGTAGCGTGACCGAGTGACAAGTTCTAAGTTGCTATTATGGTAAATTGCCGAACAGGTCAGGGTGAGTCAATAAGAACCCACTAATATGGACGAATAGTGAAGCAGCAGCGTTAGTTCTATTGAGCACTTTGTATGACAGTCGACAGGTAGACATGACATTCTCGATGAGGAATGCCACTGCGACGTGAACACTCAATTAGGGGAACTAGTAGGTGGTTCCAGCTGGGTTTCGAAGGGGTATCCCCTTAAGGGGTTGCAGTGGAAACTTTTTGTGTCACAAATGCCATTTTCCAGAACAGGATGTATCTTCTTGGTAGGCCCTCATGAAGAGATACCGTCGGGTTATCCACACCTGGACAGGGGTAACCAGGAAAGTCACACGTGGATTTAAACTGGGGCCTTTCCACTATGAAACTCGCACTAAGACGTCTGAAACATGACAAACTACAAACTCGAAGCGTCGAGAAAGAGTGGACTAAAAGAACCGGAACGCTCGATAATTAACAGGCGGACTCACGCTTATTAAGTCTCCAGGGGACAATTCTTCGATTGACAGAAAAGGTAGTTGTAGGAGTTTCCTGGAGAAGCAGAAGGGTGAAACAACAAAGATGTACAGTACCATGAACAATATGGTAACGAAGATAGTGCAAGCGGTCACCACATCTAACCGTTAAAGAAGCAGGTAGGAAAAAAATGAAATAAGATCATCGTTTAGCTGTAACATCCCTTCGGTGCCTAGGTGCCATGCCAACCGAAAGAAGCACGAAGATTGGAATACTGCCACGTTGCCGAAGCCTAGACAAGAGAAGTCGAGATGCAGAGGTCGGGTACGAACCACAGAACTTCCGGTCAGAAAATTCGCAATCCAACCACTGGGCAGGATGAATAATGAGGCAACCAATTACGCTTTGATGGGCGGATGCCACGAAAAACACTCTAAGACAGCACAGATGAATATTCGATGCCAGATTCGCATAACAAAAACGACCTCTATGGAGAAGCATACAATACGACTGGTTAAAAATATATAATCAAATTACAAAACCCTAATAGAATTGATCTAGCGGAAAGCGCTTTTGACAACTATATCACATTTATGTAAACTGGTGCCTTCCCCACTAATCCGAGCTCATCACAAGACTACATTTAACTAAATATACTACAAATAACTGTATGAAGAAGTCGAAGTAAAAGTGGGGGAATTCCAGATCAACTTGAGAGAACTAGTATTGTTACAGTGACATCAACAGCTGCAGTACCGGTGAAAACAACAGAACCGTTTGGGAAGTAAAATATGGGCATACTTTTTCATTGTGGCAATCGCAACGTCCTCCAACAGGTCATGGTCGATCACACGGCAGGTCACCTTTTGACCAGGGGCGAATTTGGATTTGAGGTTTTCGACTGCCAATTTGGTCGGTAGCTGGGCTCTCTGAAAACGAGGGATGAAGAATATGGAAAGATAGAGCAAGTGAATTTTTTTCTTTCACCGGCCTCAAAAATCTGAGACTAATGATACGTTGAAAACCTCGAAACCTAGCTACAAAGAGAAGCAGATTGCATGAACAAGAAGCGCTATGTTGTATATTTCAAACAGTTCCACACACAACCAATTATGGTTGAGCCCCAGTAAAGATAAAGTCCGATGGGATTCAGATAGCTTTTGGAGTTCGAGAATGGGAAGCCATCGCGAGTGACGTTTTTTCGTGTATCAGGGTAGCCCGGTTCTTCATACTTACAGGTGAATCACTGAGCTATGAGCTGATGACTTTCGAAAGGTATAAAAACGATGAATACATTTCCTAAGGAAGGACACGATGTGATACGCGTCGAACTAAAAATGAACAATCTTAAACAGGAACGAAAGGGTAAAAGGACACCCTGGAATGGATCGGATCAGATAAACAAAAACATGCAGCAGAAAATGTGGAAGATTGAGTCAAAATGTTCAACAAATGGCATCTTGGGTGCCGGAAAATCAGCTCATAGGATAAATATACTGTCCCAGTGCTTCTCATCTCTTCTCCAAGAAAAACACGAAAGGCCCTCATAAACCACATAAATCAACCTAGAAACTCAACCGGTTTTAAAAGCACTGACTAGTCAAACAAAGGAAATGCAATATGAAAGATCGCCAGTTTGGAGATTATGCTGCTATGGATGAAAAACAGGCAATCACACGAACCAGTGACCGTAAATGATAGAACATACCCGGACAACAGCTTGTAGGGTCTCCGAACCCGGGACTGAAAGATGTATTGTCCGTTTATCAACGCGTTCGATGACAGCATTACCCAACCGCATACCGATCGGCAGTTGCTTACATATAGTGGTGCAAGAGGATGTGTGAAGAAACGAAGACGGAAGTAAATGGGGCAACAACGAACCGGTCAGTTGTTTCGTCCCCGGATCGACTAAGATCAAGCAAACGAGTACCTTAAGGACAGAAGGCATGAGAAAGCGTGGAGGTCACGATATGCGCACAAAACACAGCCATCAGAGCCAAGAATGACAACTACATGCACAGTGTACCTGAGTTAAACACTGCTGATGGCTGTGGTGGAAATGACTAATTAGTTCCTGCTAACCATCCCACTAAGAAGTAGAAATAATGGTGAGTTCACGGAAGCCTAAATAGGTAGTGGCTGGGAGCCAGTCAAAGCCGGATTATGCATCCAAATTGTGCCTGAATTGGTTGATTGTTGTCACTGTTCATGTGACCAGAGAAAATGAGTCAAACAATAGGAATAGTTTGTCCCATAGGCAACCATCACGTCAACACATTGGGAAAAACCATTGCCAACCTACCTTTTGCGGGGAAAGTGACGTAGCACGGGTAACCGGATCTTTCGTCATTCAACAATGTTGCTCTGATTTTTCCTTTCTATCCGGATTGCCTGGCTAAAGGCTGAAGGGGTGTTTCTGGTAGGCCAGAATTGGGCTCACTTCTTGTTGAGATTCGATCTGATTTGTACAGGTGGAGAGTGGTCAACGCTAACATCCGAACACATCACCGATCAACCCGAAGGATCATGATCTGGCCCGCTACTTCAACCCACTGGTTTGAGTTGCCAGTTTATACCGTTTAACCATAATAACACGAGGTACAGTGAATGGCCATTCTCCTTGGTCTCAGTTCACAGTTGCATTCGGCAAATTACATGTCCCGAACAACAACGCTGAGTCTATTCACCAGTTTGTTGTTTGTCTTGCTCTTGACTGCGATTTAAATCCTCTGAATCAGCTAGCAGATTTATCTTTAGTTCCCTAAATACCTATCCTTCTGTCTAAAGCATAAGGACTGTGCTTACACCCACTTCTCACCATGTCACGCAATAAGCCTTCCTGGGTTCCTTCGGAACTAACCTTTGGTTACTTTGGTTGAGGCTCTCTTGTTCCCCTTATGTTAAACACTTTCGTTGTCTTTACCATACCCTTAATTAAAATGGTGCTTGAAAACATGCTCTATGAGAACAGTCTCTACTCTGACTTCACCGCTGAAACCAACAATCTTGGTGAGGTAACGTACGGAGTTATGAACAGTTTACTCACGGAATGACCGAAAGATTCGTTCGCCACTCCATGTTACGATGTCGGCCTTTGAATAAAGAGATATGGATCCAAAAACCACAAAAATAACTAAACGTTTCATGCAATTTCAAGGTCCGAATATGCCACATACGCCGTTCAATGATTCTCATCCTCGAACAACCCTCTGTCCTATTCCTCAGTGAAACCCAAATCTAACAATCTGGCGACATTACTATATCCAACTTCGCCATCTTTTTCCGTTAAATGGTTAAATGCATTCGCACCCAGTCTTTCCTCCCCATTTCATATGTTTTTGAACTAAACACCTACGTTCCTGATTTTTGACACCTTTCGACGTAAGGTAGTTCTTTTGAGTTTAGCGGCCACGGATCCCTCTTTTTTGTTGGACATTAACTGCAAACACGCTTCACTTTTCTTCCTTTTCTACGAGGCCACATTTTTTCTATGGTCAACTCCTTAACTTCGCTTATCTTAGTTCCAATCTGAATCCCTGACCTCGATGACACTTCACAAGTCCTAGACTTACCACTGACTTAACTCACCTGATTACATAGTAACCCCTTCCATCTCCGTTTATTATTCACATCACTATCTTATCAACCTATCTCCCTTACTTTTCCCTGCAAAAACTACTCTGCTTTTTCGTTGTATATTCTGAATATACTTTTGCTGAATAGGGTGCTGGGCGGCTACTGTTTTGGCCCCTAATCTTCAGATACTTTGATTATTGCTGGAAAACTGATGAGTGCTCCTTCTGATGGCACCGACTGATCTAGCCCTAGTTTTTTTCAAAAAGGGGAAGCAATAAACCGCCGAATGACTCAGACGCATCCATTTCCCTCGCACATGCTCACTGATTTGGCAGGCGTAACGTTTGTCCGTCTACCATCATCATCGTCATCATCACATCAGTGTTCAACACCGATGCTTCGCTGCCGTACAACCATGATTTATCTGAAAGCCTTATTGTGAAGGAAGGAATAAAGGCGGATGGAGGAGGAGTGCTGGCTTATCACAATCATTCCGAGGTGCCTACACCTCCAGACATTTACGCAGGCAATTTGGATAGGAACAGCAAGAATTCCACTGGCAGCCATATCTTGTAGTGTCTCAAACCAGGTGCAGCTGGGATCACGCGGTCCCCATACTGAGGGGCGAGTAGCACCGACAGCAGCAAAGCGTCTCGTAATCTCCTTCAAACCCCACTGCCAAGTCGAGTTGGCCGCCTCTCTGCTTAAGCCAATCTGAGTTGGGCAAGGAAAAAAGCACTCTTTTGGGCAAATGATGGTTAGGCAGACGCAACACTTGTCCCAACCAACGCAGCCTATGGTGCTGGACACATGCTTCAATGGAAGTACCCGTTGCACAACCGAAAACTCACTGAGCTACCTCGAGCTCAGTGGGCAGGTGGGATAAAAAAAGTTCAATATTGGTGGACTGCTGTTGTAGGCTCCCCCGGAACAAGCCACGTTGATTGTGCATTGTTTCCAAATACAATGGTTTTAACGGTATATTCTGGGTGGTGGGTTGAAGATCTTAGCAGATCTACGCTCTCATCGGTGACTCGGATAACGGCAATCTGAAGGAAGTCATCAATCGCAAAGCTGGACGTCCTTGACATATTCCATCTGAAGAAGTGTTTGTACACAACCGGAGCGTGCCACCAGGGTGCTTACGAATTTGAAGAGCACACTAGTCTTCATCAAGCACTTTCAGAGTGGTTCGATCCACGAAGCCGACGAAGGTATGAATATCCATAAATACTACCACTGTGGGAACATGCACCCTCTCTACGGCTCACGAGTTCACTTGAAGACGAGTGCGCTAATAATAGCAATTGTAAGTCTTCAAAGTAACCGATATTACAGCAATGCTCTGGTGGTTTGAGGTATTTGGACGTTGATCGTTCGCAAAGGAGCTTGACAAACATTCCGCTACATGTTCTTGGGTCTGAATTTTCGAAAAAAAGATTTGCCAGTTGGTCGCACAGCGCATAATCCTCAGCTTCGAGCAGTCCGGGTAGTGGATTATTTTTACCGGAGACTCTAAAGCCTTTCACAGAGCTAAGGACAGGTGGAGGGGAACAGACAAAAACCTAGGATAACACTCAGTAGGTGTTGCCGATGGAGGACGAGATAAATGGGATTTGAATGGAGAATAGAATTGTTATTTTCAAGAATCGGCTTGACGATGTCTATCAGCTGTGAGCGAGGGTGGTTCCTCTGACTTGTCAAGGTTCAGTGAACAGATTGGTTTGAATGACTATCCAACGTAGCCCCAGCATATTTCACCTCTTTGATTCACGGTTCTGACCTCACCATTTAATCTCCTTTTTTGAAACGCTTAGCAAGCCGTTGTATAACTTAGCGCTATGCTTGGTGGTATGTCGTATTTGCGGGGATCGTTTTACGCCAGTCCGAAAAATCCAAGAGCTAGCACAGATCTAAGGTCCGCACCGTCCGTCACCTCAATTACAATTCTCCCAGATTAGCGTGGCCCAAACTTGATTAGCGTTCAGGGTCCATCAATGCATCCTGGGTTGCTAGCAAGAATGCGTTGAAAAGCACCACCAGATTGAGGTTGCATCAATTTAGGCATCGGTTCGTTACAGTCGGTGTGAACATGGCCCGCACAAATCGGTGTGATGCGCACACGTACTCCAACACGAGCGATAAGACTTCACAGGACCGCACCACCGAAACTGATTGCGAGCACTGGATGATGGACGAAAGGTGATCTTTCCGGTGTCAAAAATTCGACCTTACCAGAAGTGTTTATGGTCCGCCAACAGGCAGGAACCAACCACTATTATCACTCGGGTATTCCGGCATCTAACTCTCCGAGACCGATACACACTGGAGAAGTATGAAGCCGGGTGTAAAACTTGCCATAGCCCGAATCCGTACTACAGTCAGCCGATGCTTATGTTTAAATAAGTAAAAGACTTATTTCTGATGCACAATATCCATTTATTCTGGTTGCCGCTTGACGACTCAACGCCTCTATTTACGAATACCCATTCAAGTAGCACCGGCTCGACGATTACGTCCAGAGCTATCCTCACAGGTGAGAAGGGGCACCGAACTTCCAGGAAGGTGTGCACAGCAAATTATGTTGGAAATTGAGGAGTTAGGTCTTAAAAGAACTGCACAGGAACAACACAACACCACCGCACCTGGGTGCTGAGTAATTCTCCATTTTTCCGCTTTCTCAGCTGTGCGGCAGTTAAAACAAGGCAAATATATCAGGAGGATGAAAGAACGATTCATGTCAGTCGGTTATACCAGTGGTGAGTGCAGCTCAAAAATCTGAAGTCCGATGAAATAGCTCCCTCAAATGTCGAAGAAATGAGAGTTTTCCGGTCAAGTTGTCAGCAATAAAAAGTACAGTTATCTTCTGTGTGTCATATTGCCATGTTTACCAGTAGGTGTCCATCACGCCATAGAACAAGAGTCCAAAGGTGAGTTGCACTACCCAGTGCTTGTGTTATTGCATACCTAAAATTGTGAGCGAGGGACACTTCATAAGCCCAAATTTAACACTGAAGATGCGAGTCCGAGAGCACCATGTAAAAGAATTGCTCACACACACATGATTTCAACTGCTTGATCAGCGTCACGCACAAAAACGATCAAATATCGCAGTCTTCATTGAGTGTCGGTGTGCCTTCCATTCCGCAGATACATTGACCTTCCTACATATCCTGGGAAAAACTAACAACACGAACACCACTGACACGGATCAGTAGACATTTCTTGCAATGTATCCAGCCAAGAGCAGCACGGGTCCAAGGGACGCCATCCCGAAAGGCGTACCGCAGCAACAACATCGAAACTCACCACAATCTCCTTCACACCCTTCTGTCAAGTCATGCGTTGTCCACCTCACGGTTTTTGCCGTCCAGAAGGAGGCACGGAGAACAACACTCGTCTTGGAAGACGGTGTTTTGACATGCGTAGAACACAACTGAGCCATCGCAATCGATAGTGCTGGATGTTTCATATGAATAAAGTATCCGTTGCACAAAGATCTTTTAATCACATCGTTATGAATCTGTCGACGCCATCCAACACCAGCAAAGCAATTGAGGTGTCGATAGTAAAAATCCTGAAGATCCCTCATATCTGTCCGCAAAGGCTACGTCTCGTAACCACATAATACAACGATACAGCAAAAAAAAACAACAAATCGTTCAGCTGTAGCGCCCTTTCGGTGCCTAGTTGCCATGCCACCCGAAGGAAGCACGAGGGCTGGGATACTGTCAGGTTGCCCAAGCCTAGACAGGGGAAGTCGAGTGGCGGAGGTCGGGTTCGAACCACGGACCTTCCGGTCAGTGAATTCGCGCCCTAACCACTTGAGCCATCTCGCCCCTTTACTACAGCCTGGTACACTCGACCCTTGAGACCCAGTGATATGACCATTTCATGTGACAAGTGACGCCAGCTACCAAACGTGGTTCGGCGCTTTGAAATTCGTGCACCGACTTCATCAGATACACTTCCGTCAGAGCTAATACAATTACCAAGGTATGTGAAATCCTCCACACCCTCCGGTGGTTTTTTTTGAAGTGTAAGGGCTATGTTCATAGACTGTACTTTCTGCTCTGCACCTCGAATGTGCGAGACGCATGTCAAAATATGTTATGAAGGTGTCCAGTTCATTCATCAGAACTTGCGCTTCACCTTCACCTTCGAAAACGAGGGAGATGTCCTCTGCGTACTCCAAATCAACGAGGTTCTTACCAGCAACAACTTGAACACCCGGGTTCCGAAAAACCTCCATGGTTTGCCTCATTATTGCGCCAGTGAATTTGAACATAAATGGAGAGACTGGACATCCTTGTCGGACACCACTCTCACAGGCCCAGAATTATAGGAATATAGGGATCAGATTATGTTCAAAGTTCTGCCATATATCCTGTTGAGTAAGTATGGTTAACAACACTGGCCGATCGACGGAAACGAACCCACCCTTGAAGTCAAAGAACACCAATATTGTGGGTTTTCTGTACATATAGCGGTGCTCTAAAATTTGACGGAGTGTGAAGATGTGGTCGACACAGCCTCTACCTAGTAGAAATCGCGATTGATGCTCACAGGCCAAGCATTCGTGCGCCGCCGTAAGACATAGAAGAATCAGTGACGCCAGAAACCTTGTTTCAACATAAATCAAACTAACACCCCTGTGGTTAGCATACAGCCTCTACCTAGTAGAAATCGCGATTGATGCTCACAGGCCAAGCATTCGTGCGCCGCCGTAAGAAATAGAAGAATCAGTGACGCCAGAAACCTTGTTTCAACATAAATCAAACTAACACCCCTGTGGTTAGCATACTCACTGCATCCTTTTTGAAAATGGGCACTATTATCGACTCATCCAAATTATCTCTTTCTCCGCGATAGACTCAAATAGGGTAGACAAGCAACTGAAGATTTCACCACCAATATTGAACAGAGCAGGTGGAAACTCGTCAAGGCCGGGAGCACGTTGACGCTTGAGTAGAGATATACACTCGGACACTTCTGATGTTGAAGACAGCTTCATATTCAGTCTGACTTTCTGTTGAAGGCCAGGATTCCGGATTTTAGATAGCATTTGGCCAACTCAATCGCTCTTCGCAGTACTGTACCTAGCGGTCCAAACGTTCTCTTTCAGTGCATATCACAGAGCCATTATGGTCCCTGATAGTTTCGCCGAAAAAAGACTTCCGAGGACCAGCCGAGCGAATCAAGGGGAACAGCCTGCGGACGTCTTCAATATTTTGCCTATTCCATTTCCTTGGCCTATTGGATCCACCAAGTCTCACCGTCAGTAAGAACACTAAGTTTTATCTGGCGTCGGATGATCTATCGGGTTGTGTGTTTGCAGTCAGGAGGAAGGTGTCGCCGACCCTCCAGAATCGTTCAGCTGTAGCACCCTTTCGGTGCCTAACTGCCATGCCACCCGAGGGTTGCAAGAGGGCTGGTATAATGCCAGGTTGCCCAAGCCTAGACAGGGGAAGTCGAGTGGCGGAGGTCGGATTCGAACCACGGAACTTACGGTCAGTAAATTCGCTAACTAACCACTTGGGCCATCTCGCCCAACCTCCAGACGAGCCATGGTCCTATCAGAGATCCGATGTTTGGATGAGGTTCGCTGGGTTGCACGCAAACGGAAGTTCCAACTCTGAGAAGCACCAGGGATATCTGTTGGGAGTGGCTATTAATATCCGACATCCGATCGTCCGGCAGGCGTTCGAGGGGACTCTGAAAGTTTCGTTTGATTTCGGGGTCCATTAATTTCTCAATGGCTGGGCGAAGTGTGCGTTTTGCGTAGAGCTGAAAGGCGCAATGAAAAACAGCAACGCACAAGTACATGTTAGGAGTCCATGCTAGTATTCCAGAAAAAGCGGCAGGTAGTCGTTCAGTTGCGCACCAGCTGTAACTACCAACGAACGGAGGCAATAGGGCTGGGATACTGCCACGTTGCCCAAGTTGAGATGCAGAGACTGGGTTCGAACCACGGACCTTCCGGTCTGTAAGCTAGGGCATTAATCACTGAGCTATCAACCATCACCACTGGTAACTGACGGCGACTAGGTCAATTTGAATTCGGGACTGATTCATTGGTAGGCACCACATTGTCAAACGATTTCTGCTGTTCCGCAAACGGGTACTGCAAACTAACAGTCTGTGATCGGCACATATCTGAAGAAGACAGTTTCCGTTGTTCGTGCTCCTCGTATCTAACCAAAGACCACCAATCAATTGAGCCTCGGTACCGCCTAGTCTACCCATCTAGGCGTTTACGCCAATCACCAACCTAAACCGTTAAAGAAACTGTCTTTGTCAGATTCAGAGCTACGGTCCGTTGTAGCACAAACAAGAAAAACAAGTTGCGATGAACCTGTTTCTAGAAATCTTCTCACAGGTCTTGCCAAACCGGCCACGCAGAGGCAACTGCGTGGCGCGCAACCGAGGCCTCCGTGTCACCAGAGCAGCGCAGTCTGAACCCAGAAGAGAACGGGGGCGGTTAGTTCAAGTGCTGTACTTGCGTACTGCATCCTTTTTTCTGAAAGATAGCATAGCAATGTGGATGGAACTCAGTGAAAGAGCAAGAGCCACCTGTTGTGCTGCAGGTTCAAGTGTGCAACTTAAGGCAGCTAAGCAGACCGGTTTACAGGGTTTGAAAAGTGTTTAGGGTTGTTACTTAATTCAGACGTACAGAAGCTGCAGCTGAGCGTGATGCACGGCACTGCAGTCAATCCTAGTGCTTAGACATGCTAAAAGTGCCATAAAACTTGGGGCAAAGAAGAGGGAAAACTTAAAAGTGTAAGAATGGAGGCATCAGCAGTAGCATGTTTTCGTTTACCCACGCTGCAGTATGCAGCAAGTAGGGCGTGGTGACACCGCGTGACAGCCGATGTGCAATGAGACAATGTTCAGTCGATCATGGTGGTGCGTTGACTGGTATACTGCCAGAGCACCCGAACATAGACAGGAGAACATTTAGGGCCCTCACCCAAAGCCACTGACTAGAAACCTGACCACAAGGCAGCTGTGCCTGGCGGGAAATGCAAGCGCATTACCACGCATGTTCTAACCCCGAACATGGAGGGCCAGGATAATATACTGGTCAGACTTCTAACAATTCATCAACCTGGCATGAGAGACTCTATGTGATGCATTAATACCACCCAGTATGGCTCAAGGGATCACGGAGGCACACAAACCATGGTAAGGCCCAGTCTCTTTGTGACGAGTGCTCAACTTGGGTCGAGAAAAGTCGATGCCATGATGCGAAACGTCCACCCACCAGTTAACTGCTCATTATGGTATAGGTGTGCCCGGGCGGCGATGGAAGGCTTTAGCGGACCCCCCAGAGGGGGAGAGATGGCCCAAGTGGTTAGAGAGCGAATTTACTGACCGGAAGGTCCGTGGTTCGAATCCGACCTCCGCCACTCGACTTGACCTGTCTAGGCTTGGGCAACCTGGCAGTATCCCAGCCCTCGTGCTTCCTTCAGGTGGCATGGCAGCTAGGCACCGGAAGGGCGCAACAGCTGAACGCTTTTTTTCAGAATAACTGCTAGGTAGGACACTGGCCCATAAGACAGTGGAGAGTTTGCTGGGAACCATTATGAGAAATGTAGGCCACCAAGAAATGAATAACATAAAATGTATCCACAAAATGGTCAACCCATAGCAAAAGGTATGAGGTACTCACTTCCATGCCTATTCTGTACTCGTCCTCAGAGCCTCTGTAGTGGGCGCGGTTAATGGATATAAGATAGTCCGAAAACTTGGCAACAAGGGTTGACCCCACTTTTTTGTGTACGGTAGCACGCAGCCAAGTGCCCGGAGTCAAACATCCGAAATGAACGGGTGCGGCTGGGTCCAACTGACATGCAGGTAAAATTGAATATCTTGAGACATACCACAAGGTCTGAAGGATTGTCTAGCTGAGTGGTCACCCTGAGGACACGCATCGTGTCGGATGTAAGAAAAGTGATATTGTCCGAGACAACCGGATAGAAGGTCATCACAGAACCTAAATATACCTTTTCTGCCAGGAATCGAAGTTCACGAACAATCGTCATTTACCTGTGGTGAGTGACTTCGGAAGGAAACAACTCAGCCCCTGAATCCCTGTCCCAATAGTGTATCCGTGGTCTTCTTCGGTATCAACAGATCCAGAAATATGGGTTCGCGCCCTTATATGCTTCCTCGTGATCCCCTTATTGACCAATTCAGGGAAAAGAGACAATTCCGACAAGTGCTTCGAATGATCAGAAGCCTGAGAAGACTGGACACTCGGAACGGCTTTTTTCACATAACACCGTACTAGCTGCCCAGTGTGGAAAAGATCTTCCAAAGCTGTCACACTATCCTAAGAAATATATAATACAGTGAAGTAATCAAAATTACATCAATCTCGCCTGAATCAACCATTTTCTTCACCAACGCGGAGTAGCTGCTACTAATATCATAAATATTTACCCTCCCGATTTCTCCATGTGGGAGGCATACATCCAAGTAGAACTTCGCGACTGTTTTGATTCTGCCCAGCACCAAGTCCTCTGTCTGCATCTTGACCAGCCGAAAAAGTGATGGTAGCGTAGAATTTCAACACTTGCGGTTCTGGCTTCAGTTCAGTAGTTCAACCACACAAGTCAGTTCACAAGCTTGACGAGCGGTGCAGGATACGCAAGTGCTTTTTTCGAGGTAACCAGCCTCCGGAACTCCAACAAGGTCTTGGTGGTATCTGTGGGTTTCGAATTTAGCCGGCTGTATGATAGTGGTGGGGGCTGAAGCAATGTTTTCTCCCTCTGCAATACGAATGATGTTTTCTGTGAGAAGGAAAGGCGGTACACATCCATTCAACTTCGCTGCGTAGTTACGATCAGGCACTGCGATAAAAATGCGGTGCAACTTATTCACATGAATTTTTCAGTGGGAGGGCTACCGGGTGTCACGAATAACGTGTTGCGTCTTGATGATGCCTTATCAACTAGTGCTTAGGGATGGCCAACGTACCTGTGATCAGTATGCGATCAGGGACTTACTCAACCAGTGCACGCTACTGTAGCGTGCAGCCGTTTTTAGCCTTCCCTGACTATCCTTGACTGTATCTGCTTGTGCGTAAACATGTATCATAGCCAGGTTTTGAAATTCATATTTTTATATCGCACTATCTACATGCAGTTGTTTCTGTATTGCATACAACCAGTTGGCTGTGGTTGCCAACACGGTACATACTCATGCAACCATCAAACGTCATGCTCTCTCGTTTCCCCCGGCACCTGACATGATGCATTCGCTAGCCTTTATCTATTCAAACCTTTTACTGGGTTGCCACTGGCACGGCATTTTTCGTGGGGGAAGAATCTACTGGCTGTTGGTCCGGTATGCAGCGTTAAACTAGATATGTATGGCTCAGTGACCAAGTGAACCATGGCCGGTGGCAAGAAACTGCTCATAGATGATGAGCTTGTAGGAATCATATGCATCGGTGTGAGTTGATCCGGCATGGAAGAAACGCGTCTTTGTAACTAGCTACAGGTCGACTGGTCATGTCGAAAAATTAGCCGTCATTTAGTTGTTGAGTGTATCTGTATGTATGTACATGCTTTGTACAATTTTGTTTGATTATCAGTAGAACTGACTGGCAAGAAGCATTCAGTTTTTACCTCGGGACACGTAATGGCTGACTGAGCCATTCAAGAGGAGAATAGAAGTCATTCAATTGATTGTTTATAGTCATGCAGCCAGGGGAGCAGGATAGAGGGTTCGTGGAACCTTTTTCTCTAAACAAATCAGCACAAGGGAGACTTGACTGCGATGTATACTGTGGGTGAAGGTGACTGCACGGGTGACCTTGCAGGTATGCCCGTGAGAAGGTTAATAAACCGCGAGATTTGAGATTGGAAGAGACGGTAATTGCGGATGAGGCGCTATGGCAGTCGGTGGTATTTCGTGAGAAGAGCTCATGAAAGAGTGGTCCTTCTGGATGGGATAAGTTCCGACTAATTTTGTCGCTTTCCCCAGAGCATTATATAGCATAATCACTAAGCGTCTCAACCGCGAAAAATGAACATGACAATGTTTGGAGGAGGGAAGTGGGAAGGGGAAATGAGTTCGATCTGTCGAGGTGAATTCAAGATGGCGAAAAATCAACATTCTGGTAAGCTTTTCGAGGAATAAATGTACAATAACATCGAAGAAAACCTAAACGCAATCTAGATGGCGAGATCTTTCTGGTAGTCAACGCATGTGGTGTTCTGTTTCTGGAGGATGACTGCAGAACCATGCCACAGTATGAAGGTTCGTTAATACGTGTTCGGTTTGTGAAGCGGATGAGTGGAAGATCGTTGGTCTGGAACCAATAGCAGAAGTCACTCGTCGGTTGAGATGGTCATAAGACTATGAGGCGTACTACAAAGCGATCGGCGCAGAACGGATAATTCTACTTTTTGCGGACGACTTGAAATCCTGGAGTTCCAATGCCAGTGCCATCCAAATGGATATCGACTCTGTCAATTCACGGATTCACGGATTGATACACAGGATCGAGGCTTTTGCCCAAGTTTCCCGGGTCGGTTTTGTTCTTGTCGGTCAGTGGCTGTCGTTC